TAAAGGCCAAAGATTGTCTGAATGGCTTCTAGCAGCAGTCGAGAAATGTGGCTTTAATATTGATAACTGTTGTTATGGACAGGGACACGATAATAGAGCTTATACGAGAGGAAAACTATGTGTATCGTCGACATAATTTTAATTCGGTTTAAATATTTAAAAAAAAAAAAACACGCTACTTTTCCAAAACGGCTGAACAGTTTAGGAACAATTAAACTTAAACCACCAAATTTGTAGTTTATTTCGTTGGGCGGATACAGCCTCGCCGTACGTCACGCATGAAACAAATCATTTTCGGGTGGTCGGTCCTGCTAGGGTGGTCGGTCCTGGTGGGGTGGTCGGTCCTGATGGGGTGGTCGGTCCTGGTGGGGTGGTCGGTCCTGGTGGGGTGGTCGGTCCTGATGGGGTGGTCGGTCCTGATGGGGTGGTCGGTCCTGGTGGGGTGGTCGGTCCTGATGGGGTGGTCGGTCCTGGTGGGGTGGTCGGTCCTGCTAGGGTGGTCGGTCCTGGTGGGCAATGTTCCCTCTAAGCTGCGCGGTTGCGCGGCCGCGCAGTAGTTTTGAGCTGCCGCGCAGTGATTTTGTAAAATAAATATATCCTTGCATAAGACTTTTAGAACAGCGCGCACAGAAAATACATTTTTAACACTAACTTTTCCCCCTTAGAGGGAACATTGCTGGTGGGGTGGTCGGTCCTGATGGGGTGGTCGGTCCTGATGGGGTGGTCGGTCCTGGTGGGGTGGTCGGTCCTGATGGGGTGGTCGGTCCTGATGGGGTGGTCGGTCCTGGTGGGGTGGTCGGTCCTGGTGGGGTGGTCCTGATGGGGTGGTCGGTCCTGGTGGGGTGGTCGGTCCTGATGGGGTGGTCGGTCCTGATGGGGTGGTCGGTCCTGATGGGGTGGTCGGTCCTGGTGGGGTGGTCGGTCCTGGTGGGGTGGTCGGTCCTGGTGGGGTGGTCGGTCCTGATGGGGTGGTCGGTCCTGGTGGGGTGGTCGGTCCTGATGGGGTGGTCCTGATGGGGTGGTCGGTCCTGATGGGTTGGTCCTGATGGGGTGGTCGGTCCTGATGGGGTGGTCGGTCCTGCTGGGGTGGTCGGTCCTGATGGGGTGGTCGGTCCTGCTGGGGTGGTCGGTCCTGATGGGGTGGTCCTGATGGGGTGGTCGGTCCTGGTGGGGTGGTCGGTCCTGATGGGGTGGTCGGTCCTGATGGGGTGGTCGGTCCTGATGGGGTGGTCGGTCCTGGTGGGGTGGTCGGTCCTGGTGGGGTGGTCGGTCCTGGTGGGGTGGTCGGTCCTGCTGGGGTGGTCCTGATGGGGTGGTCCTGATGGGGTGGTCGGTCCTGGTGGGGTGGTCGGTCCTGATGGGGTGGTCCTGATGGGGTGGTCGGTCCTGATGGGTTGGTCCTGATGGGGTGGTCCTGATGGGGTGGTCGGTCCTGATGGGGTGGTCCTGATGGGGTGATCGGTCCTGGTGGGGTGGTCCTGATGGGGTGGTCGGTCCTGATGGGGTGGTCCTGATGGGGTGGTCGGTCCTGGTGGGGTGGTCCTGATGGGGTGGTCGGTCCTGGTGGGGTGGTCCTGATGGGGTGGTCGGTCCTGATGGGGTGGTCCTGATGGGGTGGTCCTGATGGGGTGGTCGGTCCTGATGGGGTGGTCGGTCCTGATGGGGTGGTCGGTCCTGATGGGGTGGTCATAATTACTGTATGAATGCCCTTCAAAAGTATAAAAATAAATACAAGTATAATTACTTTGAAGATGCTCTTGGGGTGCCCTTCACAAGTTTTGTAATCAGTAAGAATATAACATAAAAATTGCCCCTACAGTGTATTACTTAAGATTATGGGGGTTAAATACTCTATGGAAGCCCACAAAATAAATATCGGCATAATTATTTTATAGATGCCCTTATAGAGTATCCAATGATTATGGGCTTAACTTTTCTAAAGGATGCCCCTAACTACAATGTTCCCAAGTAAGTATCAGATAAAATTGAAAGACCGCATTTATTATGGGTATATCAATAACTACCTCATCACTACCCTACACCGATGCACCTTCCTCCATAAAACTCTGCCATGCCGGGCTAGCCACCTCCTCCTCCGTCTCTCTCCACCGTCATCCCAATGATCCCCTCTGTCGTTTTTTTTATGTGCAGTCCATCTCACTACCATGCTTAGGAACCTTCATTAAAAAAAATACACATTCGCCTTTGTGCTCTTAGTTCACACACGACATCGATAAGACCAGTCCTAATTATTTATCTACTCGGGTTTCGATCTTCCTATTTTATTGCGAGATGAGGTAGTTTCTAAAAAAAAAATAAAAAAAAAAATATATATATATTAAAAAAAACCTTCTGCCTTCTTCAGTTTATACAGTAGACCAAGAGCTGATATTTCATTAGTTAACCTTGACCTTGACATCAAACCTTTTTCTATTATATTTGAGGTTTTCTCAATTAAATCACTCGATAGATTACTATATTCAAATAACAAAAGGGGAGATAACTAGCTAGATGTTATTACCCGACCAGTCTGCTGTGCTGTTGTTCACGTTGAATGTTTACAATCGAGTTAGTGAAGGCTATTAGCTGCAGATAATTGAGTTTTTAAACGATCTGAATCTTAAAGGAGGTAGCAAGTTTAAGAACTATCAGCAAGCTGTTGTGTGTACATTTTGACGGCTGCTTTCACGGAGCAGATAAACGTCTTTCATATATTGCGGACTACTGATTGTGTTTTAAGGCAAATATTTATAGTCGTGTCGACTACATAAATTAGGAATCACTAAAATAGAAAATAAAACCAGTATTAAAAAATGTGTAGCAAAAAGCTTTTAAATGCACGGGAAATAAGCTTTGGGGTCATCCATAAATGACGTCACGCTTTTTTGACAATTTTTACCTTCCCTCCTCCCCTCTGTCACACATCGTTACAAAAAGCCAGACCCCCACCTCTAAAATGACGTCACACCTCAGCCTACACCCCCCCCCCCTCAAAACTGCAGTTGAATTTTTCTTAAAACATCGATATTTTCCTAAAATCTTGTCTAAACTCTGTCTATATAGAGAACTTTAATCAATTCCTATTACAATTTATTAAAACAGTTGTCTAAAACCCGATATAACGTCTAAAATTCGTTTTCAAACATGGCTTTTTTATAATGCAAAAGTGTGACGTCGCACCATCTGAACCCCCCCCCCTCCTCCTCTTATCACACACCGTCACAAAATTACGGACCCCCTACGAGCGTGACGTCATTTATGGACGACCCCTTATACTTAAGTTTGTTTGTTTGGGTTCATCCATAAATGACATCAGGCTTTTTTTTGACGAATTTTACTCACCCCCCCTCCGTCACACTTCGTCACAAAAAGCCAGCATCCCCCCCCCCTAAAATGATGTCACACCTCAACCTGAACCCCCCCCCCCCCTCAAAGGCGCATCTGATTTTTTCTTAAAATACAAGATATTTCTCCAAAATCTTGTCTGAACTCTGCCAACATTCGAGTATTTTAATCAATTCCTATTACAATTTTTTAAAACACTTCTCTAAAACTCGAAATAACGGCTGAAATTCGTTTTCTAACATTGCTTAATTATAATGCAAAAGTGTGACGTCACACCATCTGAACCCTCTCGTATCTCCCTCATCACACACAGTCACAAAATTGCCCCCCCCCCCCTCACTGTCTGGCAGTGGTTAGAGAAAGGTGGAGTAAGCTAAAGATGTTTTATAGGTCTATCGTATGTTGAGGTGCTGTATGGGCTGTATGGGGTATGGTCAGGGGTGGACTGGCTGTGTCCCGAGAAATTAATAAATGAAGCTTCTTCATTACTAGATCTGTATCTTTTTTTTTTTTTAATCAAAGCCTAAAACTAAAGGGCAGTAAAAAAAACCGACTTTGATAATGAGATTTTATAATACATGCACTAAAGTCTGAAAGAAACACTGAACTAAATTGACGAGTTTGATGTGACAATAGATGGAGTTTGGCATGAACGATATTATTTAGGATACGTGATAACCGTTAAATACTTTCTACTAGGGTTTATTTGGAAGCAATAAAATATGATTAGGTTAGGCTACATTATTTTATTTTTTTGACCAAAGATTGTACCAAAATAAATCATTTTAATAAATGTATCAAACTCCTTGAGTTAAGCCCGACATTTTTCCCCATTTACATTAAGGCTGCTTAGGGGTCATCCATAAATGACGTCACACTCGTAGGGGGGACGGGGGGTCCGTAATTTTGTGACGATGTGTGATGAGGGGGAGGGGGGGGGGGGGTTCAGATGTTGCGGCGTCACATTTTTGCATTATAAAAAAGCAATGTTAGAAAACGAATTTTAGACGTTATTCCGCGTTTTAGATAACTGTTTTAATAAATTGTAATAGTTTAGACAAGATTTTGGAAAAATATCGATGTTTAAAAAAAATTCAACTGCAATTTTGAGGGTGGGGGGGGGGGGGGTTGTAGGTTGAGGTGTGAAGTCATTTTAGGGGGGGTCTGGCTATTTGTGACGACGTGTGACGGATGGGGGGAGGTAAAAATCGTCAAAAAAAGCGTGACGTCATTTATGGATGACCCCTTAACTTGTCTAAGGTTAAACTACCTTTACAGTATGCTAGTAGATCTATATTCCAAGAGGTTTTTGGTTTGACCAACCAGTTTTTAACACGTCAGCTTCCACCCTCGGCTGCACATTTGAAACTGGGTCACACATATTCATTCATGTTGACCGTGGGAAAATGTCATGAACTTTGAATTCAAAGTTTGTAAAAAGGATGAATTGAAAATTCTACCGAATTATTTAACTAATTGCTTCTTTGATTTCGAACAATATTTCTATAAGAATACATCTTTAAATGAAGTTCTCTTTATTTGGAATATTAGCCAAAAAGATTCTAGATTTTCTCTTAAATACAATGAAAACTGTTTATTTTTGTTTCAGAAAAAGATAAGCCCAAGTTTTTATCCGGATATATACATTGTATTGAAACTCGTTTAGACGTTAGATGTCGCATAGAAGTTGACCTAGATCCAGAGAAGATGTCTTCTGCAATGTTTTCGTTTCACTTTTTGTTTCTGCTTATCGCAGCTTTATGTGTACTTGCCCAGTCACCGAAACGAAGATTTGAGTATAAACTAAGTTTTAAAGGACCCCATCTTGTGCAGAGAGATAACAGTGTTCCGTTTTGGGAATATTTTGGAGGTAAGCTTATTAAAAATAAAATTCCTAAAATCTAGGCTACCGGCTGTTGGTCGTTTTTCTCGTTATGGTCTAGTGGATTGTCCACGTGTAAAAAGAGAAAAAAACAACACGGGTCTTAGCAGCAGCTGTCACCAGAGTGGCCCAAAAATATATTGTTATGTAGGTTTTGGTAGTGTCGATTAATAATACTCTCAAAACTTGAAATTAGCAGTAAAATAAAGTTGGAAAAGTCAACAATACGGTGTAAAATGAAAAAAAATTGCTGGGAGATTTTGTTTCAATACAATTTTCTGACAATTTTAAGATTTTAGAATCTTCTTTTAAAAAAGTGGTGTTAGGTTACTGGTAGATCTAAGTCTAGTTAACTAAACTAAAATACACACATGGCTTGCTAATATCAATGCTATCCCCAACACTTGGATCTACCGTACACGCTGTACACACAACCTTAATTTATTAATTTGAATAATTTCTAGATCTAGATCTAACTGTAAAACTAATCGTCGACAAGGTGGAGACATTGGGGTGAAAATCTTTTTCCGAGTAGTCACTTCATAATAATTATACTAGGGATCTAGCTAAATAGATCTAACAAATAAAACCTATGTAGATTTTCTTACTAGATCTAAATCTAAAATTTAGGCCTACCCAATTTTCAATTTGAACATGACCACTGAATGATAGACATCCATATTTTATCCATTAGGCACTAATTTTGAAGTTTTTAGTTTGTTTTGAATTAAATTACTAATTTTAATATTTATTGTCACTTGCTGCCATGCACGACACACCTCTCCATGACAACCCCCATTTTGTTTGAAGCTACAAAAAGCCATGAGTCTGGTTCGACTTTTTAACTGGCTATGCACTAGAGTTCCTCACTAGTGATCACTAAATAGTAGTTTTTCTTACTAAATTTGAAATCTACTCAATTTTCAACTTAAACATGACAACTGAATAAAAAACGTCCATACTTTATCCACTAGGCACTAATTTTGGGAGTTGTTGCGAGTTTTAGACTAAATTATTGAATTTTAAATTTTTTGGTCACTCGCAGCTATGGTATGAGGGATCCATCCATGACAACCTGCTTAAAAGCTGAAAGATTCAACTTTTTAATTGACCGTGAAATAGATCTAATGTTTTTTTACAAGAGAGTTCCTACTCGTAGAATTGCCCATCTATGGTGAGGTAATATTTTTAGAGGAAAATAATTGATGAGAATGTCATCAGAAAAGAATTATAAAAAAGACAAGATAGAAGTGATTTTTTAAATTCTTTTATTTCTTTAATTTTATAACATTTTTTTATTGTACAAAAGAGCATCAACAGACCATACCAGGTAAACGTATCCATTCGAATAGCGGTCATGTGGTCAAAAAAAAAAATTTGGTTGTCATTTTTTGGTCACTCTTATAAAAAAAAGGGTTGAAGATATTTGATTTATTTTTTCATAGAATGATAAAACTAATAATGCTTTACTATGGAAATCAATTTTGTGATATGGAGATCTATATTTAAAAAGTTATATTATTTTGAATGACACCGACTTTAAATTTAGCCTACATTCTCCAAAGCAATTTTTGAAAATGCTTTTCTGGCATATTTCGACTTGCCACCTATAGCATGTTTTTATAACGTGAAAACCTGCCATTTTGCTCGTAGTAAACGTATTTAAAAGTAATTCCAAGGAGGTCTCTGGAACTAAGTCGAAAAACTCGCCGGAAGTCATGGTCCGATCCTTACGCCATGTTATGGTTAGCAACCAAGGACGCTTTCAAGCTAGTGAGCCTCACTACTAAATAGTGGTCACATGTTTTTTTTTTAAATTTGGTTGTAATTTTTCTGGCCGGTCTTATAAAAAAACGGCTGACGATATTTGATTTATTTTTTCATATACTGATGAAACTAATAATGCTTTACTGTGGAAATCAATTTTGTAATATGGAAATCAATATTTAAAAAGTTACATTATTTTGAATGACACCGACTTTTAAATTTAGCCTTCATTCTCCAATGCAAATTTTAAAATGCTTTTCTGGCATATTTAGACATGCCACCTATAGCATGTTTTTATAATGTGAAAACCTGCCATTTTGCTCGTGGTAAATATTTTTAGAATTTAATTCTAAGAAGGTCTCTAGAACCAAGACGAAAAATTGTCGTAAGTCATGTATCCGGTCTTACGCCATATTGTTGTTAGCAACCAGCCACGCCTCCGAGTAGCGAGCAATACTAATTTTAAGGCTTATAGGTCTCATATTTGCATAATATGTATCTGTGTAATTGCTTGAGAAACATAATTTAATAGCACCAATTTCATTTTTTAAGGCCTCTGAACTACTATGATTTACTGTAAAAATGTAATTTCAACCAATCTATATCACAATAACTAGATCTATATCATATAACATTTTTTTGCTAAAGATATATATATACCTTTATTTTTGCCATAGATGCACTTGCTGGTGATGAAGGTATAAGAATAACTCCATCTTTAAGAAGCAAAAAGGGTAAGTACTATGATTTTTATTGGTTTCTTCAGTTACATTCTATTAGACTTAAAGTTTTGTAAACATTAAGTTTTTATACATTTGCTTTACTTTCTCGTACAAAGTATAGAGGAAGTATTGTAAGCGTGCAAAAAGTCAAAATCGATCTAGATGTTTTACACCTCCCTGAGTCTGAAAAATGTAGTTTTGCGATTTTGTCCGTATATGTATGTATGTCTGTGAAAACGATAACTTGAGTACCATTACAGTAATTTACAGCTAGGTTGATGAAATTTCATACATGATGAAATTTCAAATTTGTAGTTGTATATCAACTTTTCAGCGATTTTCGGTAACTGGAAGTTGAACTTATTCTACTTTTGGTTTTTCAAAAGCCTTTAACTTGAGTATTGTTTTAGATCGATAAACTAAATTTCACATTTAGGTAAAAGACCTAATTCTCTGCCTTCTGTCCAATTTTAGTTATTTCCGTACTGGAGGTAGTACTTTATGCTATTTCTGATTTCTCAAAAAGAAAAACACATAGCATATGAAATTATAAAGTATGGGCATACTAATAATATTCCTCACTATTATACACATTTTGTTTGCTGCTCACTTGGTGCACAATTCTTTTTTCTACTTGATTCTATTTTAAAAAGTTTGAGTAATTAAAAATCATGTCTATATCCTGAGTTGCATTCCCTGTAGTGTTATATAAGAATATTTGAGAAAGTTTAGGGTAGATATCTCCCTGTTTATTTTTTTTTATTAACAATTTAGAATATGTTTTTAAACAGTTTTGCTTATAAGTGTTTATATTACTGCTTAAAATGCAATTTTTTGATTGTTTTGTATGGTGCACCGTCTAAACGACCCAGTCAAAATAACCTTGACATCTGGGCTTCCATCATATTTACTCACAACATATGGGCTTCCAACTTTTGCCATAGATGTAACCATTTTATACACTTACCCACCAACATGCAGTTTCTACTACCATAACCTCTTTTAAATGCCTGAATGTAAAACTTCATGAGCAAATTGAGCACTTAATAACGGCAAAGTGCTACTAATTTAAAAATTTTGATAATGATTTATTTATCCGATGTTGCTTAAAAGCAGACACAAACGTTTAAATGTATAATATACATGATGTTTACAGGATAAACAACATTTTGGTTTGTTTTGATAAATTACAAGCATGCTGCAGATAATTGTGCTGACTGTACCTCTCTGAGTTTGAACCTGCATATAGTTGGAACTATATGCAGGTTACTAAACTAAACATAATTTGTTGCAATTTGGCTTTTTATTGTACAGGTTCAGTTTGGTCAAAGAATAAATTAGAAAGCAAAGGATGGGAGATAGAAGCTGGAATAAGGGTTACAGGAAGAGGCAGAATTGGAGCTGATGGCATGGTATCATACCTTTATTTTTTATTACAATGCCTACTTGTGTTTTGTTTGTCTTCATTATTTAATTAATTATAATGCTTGAACATTTTTAAGCAAATTATTTTGCCCTCGAATTTACTTCTTTGCTTGGTCGTTGAAAGATATTTAATTTCCAATTTTAAACATTAAATGTGTTATTCTATTTTGTAATGGGAAAACAAAAGAATTCCAAATTGTTTTAAAAAGAAATTGCTTGAGTCTCTAAGTTAAATACAGTGGTTTTTAAACAAACAGTTATTGGGTTCCCTTTTCCTCTCCAGGCTATCTGGTTTACTGAAAGTCGAGCATCCACTACTGACAATCAAGCTGACAATGTGGTATTTGGGGCTGCTGACAAATGGAAAGGCTTAGGTGTATTCCTCGACTCATTTGATAATGATGGACAGGTTTGAATTTTAAAATTATTTAACCATCCGACAAATAAGTCACTCCACCCATATTTTACACTGCATATTATTTTGTTTATAGATGTTTTTGTTTTAAATTTCCTTACAGTTTGATTCTTTAAACAATGCCTTTATTTATGTATTCAATCTACTACAATTCAACAACTTTATTTTATTTAAACCATATTGGGACGCGTGGCCTGGCGGTAGAACGCTAGACTGCGAACCCGTAAGGCTAGAGTTTGAATCCAGGTTCAAGTCAGTTAAATATCCTTATCCTCCTAGCTCTGATAGGTACCTGGCGTTAGGGGAAGTAAAGTCGGCTGGGCATAGTGCCGGCCACACTACCCCTTCAAATGCCAAATTTTACTACTTACTTTACCATAACACCCTTATTTTAACCCTTGTAATTTCACGTCACAGCACAACAACCCTTACATCATGGCTGTGGTTAACGATGGTTTAATGTCCTATGATCATCACAGGTAAGTCATGTTTTTTCTCATAATTATACATGACCCTTAACTTCTTATTCTTACAACGTATGTTTCATTGATTGCATGACATCATCTATTTGTAAGCAAATAATAAAGATATACTTAGCATTATTATATAGAAAAAACAGTTTTGATTTTTGATACATAAGGGCAGTCAAAATATGATTTTGAAGTGAAGGGTCAAAGCCTTGTTATGCTTTTTGTTTATAAATCAATGATGATTATAATGTAGCTGCACCAGTATTGGTCTGTATTATTATGTTGGTTTTCATTTGTCAATCTGGGAAATTGTCAAACCGAATCGCTCGTGCAATGTGAAACTGTAATCTGTTCTTAACTGTGCATCTTGCGCCTATTTCAAGTAGGCTTAGCTTGACATGGTCATCTTCATGTGTCTAACAATTTGTACTTCATATGTCATCTTAAAACATTTCCTCACCTTATTGTTTTTAAATTCGTGCATTTAAAAATGCTTGGGCAGCAGAAAACCCTTTATTTAAAAGAAAACACTGTATAATTTAATCAGATCATAAAATTGAACAAAGACATTTTTATGCTCAGTTAATTTTTGTACTTAGGGTTTTTTGTTGTTACACAAATATTAATGTAAACTTCACCATGTAACTTTACTAAATTTTAAGTAACAGATTTATTTATTGGTTTAGTATTTTGTTTCTCATAGTAGTTACATCACCAATATGCTTAAATACAATAACTGCATAACACAAAATTTTTTAAGAATGATATTGGGAGGATACAAATATTTGATTTGACTACCTTGATAGCTTACTTACTCTGTTTATTACATGACTTAAAGATGATTTGTTAGCTTCTCTTTTATGGATAGAAAAGTTGTATATTTTTTTTCTTTTGTTTGTTTCATTTTTAATGAAAGATAATTTTTTTTTTTTTGCTTTAAATTGCTGTTCTTTATGTTAACTCATCATCAACGATAAATAAATTAGTCTAATTTCTAAAGTCTTGTTTTGTCCAATATGAGAGCAGCATTTCTTTTTGTTTTGTTCTGTTCTGTTGATGCTTTTGAATAATAATATTAAATTTTTTGAGAGAGGAAAACAGTTTGATACTGGATTGTTTGCTTATTGGGGCATTAAGTATAAAAATATAATCTTATTTAAAGTAAAAGCGAACCAGGATTTCATATCTAATCTGAGAAATTAGTTCTACAGTTGTGTTTTAAATTAAATTCTAATTGTTATATACATATAAGACTATATAAAAAATTTAAGACTTAACCAGAGTCATTATAAATGAAATTTTAAAAATACAAGTTAAAAAAATATAAAGACTCACTTTTATAATTATTCTTGAAAAGCTTGGAACGTACTATGAGGTAAGTTGATTTAATATCAGGAAGATGAAGCTATTTCATTTTATGAATAGCAACATTATTTGTCTTGTCACTATTGGTAAAATACTCTCTTTACACTACTGTAACATTTTACCATGTTTTTAGACATTACTCTGCATATTAATCTAGCTTTCAATGTTCTTGATAAGGCAGTACATTACAGATGTCTCAATTTAGAAATAGATTGATAGCTTTTAGAAAGATTTTCATAGCTTTTTATATAAGTGAGTAGTCTTATGCAGCATTCACTGGATTAGCTTTTGATTTATTGTTATATTTATTATTCTGTTAAAAACGATAGTAACAAATAGTATTGTTTTGTCTGTTTGTATCTGCTTTCCATGTGTACTTAACCTGACAACAATATGTCAATTGCATCCTTTTTACTCATACTACTACTGATTTCTTTTTTAGTACAATATGCATTCCCATTTGTAGTTATTGTAATTGCTGTGATCTGTTGAATTACATTTAAGGTCATCATTTAAATAATATTGTTGACTTATTGCATAAAAATAAATTCAAATCAAAGTAATGTGGTTTAATAAGAAGTTGTTTTGTTTATTTCTGCTTGTGTGTTTGTGTCATAATTATATTATTACAGGAGGTAGCTGTATAATTTTTTTGGCATTTCTATGTGTGATATTATGAGTTGCTTTTTTCTTTTTTTATGGCGATTCATGTGTGTATATTTCTTAATCACTTCAGTGAGAGACTAATCAGTTTTTAAAGGTTTTTTTTTAAGTTTTAGTCCATGACTTTTTAAAATAATCAAATAGCCAATTAAGAATATCTTTAATTAGTGCTGGGGTGCTGTACAGTTAAAATAATATTTATTACCAAGGTCACAATTATAAATCAACACTACTTCATCTACTGCTGAACCTTACTTTTCTGTATTTTCCTGTTACTCTAACAACTTTGATAGGTTTCAGCATCTTAATGTACTACCTTTTTAGGGTGCTATAAATAACAACACAAGTGGTTTATAACTTTGGCTGTTCACCAGGTGCTCTATTAATGCTAGCATCTGTTGTTTCCCATTATAATCAACTAGTTTCTACGAGCATCCTAACATGGTGATTAAGTATTAATGTCAGGTTTGGTCTAATATTTAACTAACATGAATCGGCTCTCTTTTTCTGCTTTTTCTTTTTAGCTATTGTAAACTCATTTTTAGTAGGGGCACAGACAGCCAATTTGATGGGTTTTTTTTAATGAATAATGTTTTTTGGTTTAAAAAATGTGGTTACATAGTTTAATGATTTGTAATGAAAACAAATCTTTCTTCTAACTATGTTATACCCTATAAAACAATATCCAGCTATTTATTTTATTTTGTGTGGGTGTTGTTACATAACTTGTTAAATAATAAATGATTAATAATCTAGTAATGGCTTCTAGTGCATCATAATCCTTTGTTTATTTTTGTGAATGTTTTATCATGCACTTTTAACATAGATGCATTATTAGTTACTGTAAATTTTTTAAAAGTTTGGAATAAGAAAAAATGACTAAATATTAATACAAAAACTTAAAATCAATAATTGTCTATCTTTTTCAAAAAAATAATTTCTTAGATAAATGGTCAAACTGGATTACTTTCAATCTTTAAAAAGCATGTTGCAAACATAGAGCATCAATACAAAGTCATCTAGTTCTTTGCTTGCTAATTGGTATAAAGCACTGAGAAAGTGACAGCCTTTACTGTAATTAAATGATGCATGATACTGCAAAATTTATAATCTAAAATGTCATGATCTAGAATCATTCTTAGCATGATCTCTGCATAAAAAATTTCTAAAATTTCATTGATGAGCTGTCTGACCTGATGCAAATTATATTTAGTTATAGATGCAGAAAATTTAGTGGACCATTTTATTGTTAGAACGCATCATTTTCTGATAAGATTGTAGAAAGGAACACAGGTGCTCTCAATGATCTTGGTAGAATAATTTGGTTCATTATATCACACATTACCATATTCTTATCCTTTGAATGAACTAGAGAATCAGTTATGTTTAAAATTTAAGCATGACCTTGATTTCTTTGTGTAAATTTGGTTTTGGTAAATTATCTTTCCATAGTGATGGCAGTACTCAAAATTTAGGAGGGTGCTTAAGAGATTTCCGAAACAAACCTTTTCCTGTCAGGGTGAAAATTGAATATTACAACCAGCTTCTTACAGTAAGTTTGCTAAACAATAAAACCTCTCTTTTATGTTAATGATGAGTCTAATTTTTCTACTTAATGCCAGGTTTCATTCTTATTTCCAGTAACATACTTTTTTATTTAACAAATAGTGTAATAAAAATTAAATTAAAATTATTGCCAAGCATATGATTTATAATGAATACAATACTGAAAACAATGCAGATACTCTTTTAAGCCAAAATTGGAAGGAATAGAAATCAGGTTTTTCTCCAAAATTAAGCCAAGGGCCATTATGTGGTATATAATTAGTATAGAGGAAATAATTTTTTAGTTCCATTTAAATCAAATAGTGATCAACATTCATTAGATATTTTATGGAAATTTTGTTACGTTTTCAATTTCTTTTTTATGATCTTCTATAGTATTTCAATGTGCTATATTAAATTTGTTAGACATACATAGAAGGCTATATATATTTCTGTTGAATAAAATAGAAATGTAGATGTGATCTGTTTTAAAAAACATTCTGAAAGCATTTTTTCAATTAGATAATTTAATGTTATATCAGAAAATCCTTAAAGTATACTTCAAACTTTTTTCAGGTAAGAGTTCACAATGGACTGACAAACAATCAAAATGACTTTGAAATATGTATGTCTGTAGCCAATGTTGTGTTACCAGAATCTGGCTATATTGGAATCTCAGCTGCTACAGGAGGTCTAGCTGGTAAGTTTTGGGTAGCATCTTTGTATTTTCACATTAAAAAATTTCATTCAGCTTAATGAGACCTTTCTTAAAAATGATTGTATGAATGTTTTTTATCCTGATGTGTGTCTGATTTTAATCGCACACAATGTTTTCAGATGATCACGATGTTCTTTACCTGCTGACACACTCTCTTCATGACCCCACTGTGGACACAAACCAAGTCTCAGATGATGAAAGGGCCAAATTTGAAAAAGAATTTCAACAGTATCAAGAAGAACTAGATAAAGCTAAGCAGGAGTAAGTTTTAAACATTAGATTAAATATCATTTTCTTTTATAAATTAAAATATTCTTTCACCATGATTTTCTTTACACTTTTATTTAGTTATCAAAAGGAACATCCAGATCAAAAGTTTGATGGTTATGAAGAAGGAGATGATCAATGGGTAAGTTAAAAAAAATATTCAATGGATTAGTTACTTGAATAAAGACTAACATAGTATGCAACCACACTGTTGATTGAAAAATCAATCTTCTGTTCTAGTATCAGTCTCAGAATGAAAAAGAGATGAAACAGATCTTTGATGGCCAAAATATCATTAATAATGTCTTAAGAGAGGTCAATAGAAAATTAGATGAGTTAATGGGACGTCAGGAAATGGTGATATCAAGAATCAACTCTATGCCAGTTGGACAAGGGCAGCCAGCTCAAGTTGGGGTAAGATACATTTCTCATATCGAATACTGTTGAAATAATTTCATTTTCTGCTTTTTAATGCTTGAAATAAATTTTTCTTACAAGAACCAGTCATTTTTTTTTCCCAGTGATGTAAATTTAAATAATGTAGCTTAAACAACACATGGTGTTTCCCATAGACCAGCAATTCTGCATGAGCCCTTCATTTAAGTAAACTAACATACTTGACTAGATTTTGGAGCCTGGACTTACCATTATCTGAACATTTTACGATACTAGTTTGTTATCTTTATATGGATAATGACTTTATATACCTAATCAAGTCATGACTTGGGCTGAGAAAGTCTAGCCCAGTGTCATGCTATAAATCATTACATTTTCCCATACCACATTTTGCATGAGCCAACAGAGTTAAAAAAATATATTATTTATGTTTATAAGTAAAGTATTTTTTGAAGATAGCTACATACAGTGCTGTAAACATCTGCTTAATAAAACTACTTATCCATTTTAATGTGGTGAAACATATTTTTTTTATTTTTTAGGGAAGTCAGCAAGTTGCTGCAGGAAGTGCCATCCAAAGACATGAGGTCGACAGACTCATTAACAATCAAAACTCTTTACTACAACAACTAGGAGACTTGAAGTAAATATTTTATTTACTTGTTTACCATAACACAAGTCGGTACATTTTCTAGATTGTAATTTTAACTTTCAATTTGTTTATGATCAATATTAATTTAAAAAAATTTCTTTACAGAAAATGATAACTTGTATGTCAACCGCCTGTTTAAATTAATAATGAATATCTTGGACTATTTTTTTTCAGATATGTTATCAATGATATACAGCAAAAAACCAACACTATTCAGAGTCGTGCTGGCAGTACAGGTGGCGGAGTGCCTGATCAAATGGCAATGCATGAGATCAAAGATAAAGTATCTGGCTTAGGGAATGATATAAAGTTGTTGCTAAATAAACCTCAGGTAAACTATCTTGCCTGTAAATTCTAATTCACCACTGAATATATTTATTTTGTTTTTACTACAGCTGTTACTTTGAAGATGCTGATTTCATAAACTGTATAAATGTCCTAGGATAAATGATTTGCACACTTTGTAAGCTCAGCTTTGCAGTGCTGTATTTGTTAACTTAAAATGTTATTTTTCTATTTTCAGGCTAATCTACAGTGTCCTCCACCATCATCTTCTAATGGTTGCTTATCCTCTACTTTTTTCTTGGGAGGCCTAATAGTTCAGTTCATTCTAACCATTGGATATATGGTTTATAGGTAAGCATTGTTGCTTTACAGATTTTGTTTACTAAATGTAAAATCATGGTTGTTCAATGTGGCATAGAACATTTTCTCAATCATATTACATGTAAATTATATTTTACCAGTGCCAATTGAGTCATTGCTAGACTGTCTTGTGATCTACTTTTTGCAATTTTAACAATAGATATTTAATATTAAAATATAATTTTTCCATCAAAACTTTGTTAAATTGATATAGCATTGAATTATTATTCCTGCTATAGGGCTGGTAAGTAGGTCACCAACCAGTTCTACGGCTCATTAAAACCTGCATGAGCCATTGATCTGGTTGGTGACCTACTTACCAGCCCTATACTAAGGTAACTTTGTACTGTATTTTAAAAAAAATATCTGAAACCAATTACTTGAACATGACAATGTTGACTTAACCTGAGTTCTGTTGTAAATTGTCTATTTAAAAATTTAATGTATTGGCAGATGATACTTTGTTATGAGCAGTGTTCACCTTGTTTGTAAATAAAGGACAAAGAGAAACTAACATTACATACCAAAGAAATAGTTTATGAAGGGCTGACATTTTTATAAGGAATATTTTTAAGGCATTTTTAGGCAACCGATGGCTACATTAATTGAGCATCTTCAAGGTTTTTAAAAATCTTTTTTATACTTTCAGATCAAATAAAGAAGCACAGGCCAAGAAATTCTACTAATACTCTAGTTTTAAAATTGTTACAGAATTTAATCTGATGAGAATGATGATACTGATTTTTGTGAGAGCTTTAAAAAATGTTTTGTCACAAAGTTGGTTTCAAACCTCAAAGTTGGTGAAAATGAACTAACTCTTATATTGTTTGTTGCATTTGTTTCCTAAAGAGTCATTTTTGTGTATTTGCATAAGTTATGGAAGTGTATTTTTGCTCTGTAATTAAAAAAAAAGATATATTTTGTAATTGTCATAAAAGTTTCAACTACGTTTATCGCTTTCCGGTCTTAAATTATTCTTATAATAAGAGTATTATCATGTAATTTTTTTTTACTAAGCTGAACTAAGTATTGTCCTTAAAGAACTAGTATGTTATATTGTTAATGTATTTTAATTGATGAGTGTGAAATTTTAAGAGGTCAGAACTGATCTTTGACATTGCTGCCTAGGCTTGATTTATTTTATATCAAACAATATTTTTAGTTTTAAACTATTAAAATGATAATACTTTTATCTATATTCCATACATAGGAAATAGCTGTAAAACATTGTAATACATCAACAAGCCTGCTTTTATTGTAACATGTCAAGAGTCATTATTGAGAGTAAATTATCACATCTTTTCATGTGTCCATTCCTTTCTTTGACCATTTCTTGTCTTGTTTCTATTCTTTTTTCTTAATATGGGCCTGTAGGTTACTTTTTTAAACTTTTTCTTGTAATTTTTAAGTATTTAAATTTGTTTTAAAAGTGAATATGTATAATACAGCAATATAGATCTTACCAAACCTTTTAATATTATCAGAGTATTCTTCTTAGTTAAATCACTACTTGAAATAAATTGATAATCAAGCCAGATTATAAATACATTATATGTGTTAATCATTTTAGCTATTTTAAAATTTGAGTTTATCTGATGCACTAATGACAAATACATTGAGGAAATGTATAAATGACCTTAGTTAATTGGTCACCTTCAGGCGTGTTACATTTAGGTGATGTTGCGTTCACTATTTTAAATCAAGGTATTTGTATTGGTGTAGTTTTTCAATAATTTGTAGTTAGTAACATTAGTGTTTTGTTAAAGCATAGGTCATTTATCACAATTTTGTTGTTTGACATGTGACTTTGACATAGGCTATATTGTACTGTTGTTCTTCCAGTGTGAGAAAACAATTAAGTGACAATATATGTATGGTTTTATGCAGCTATAGGTATTCATTCCATTTGTCTGTATATCTGATGAAATAGGCTTAAAATACAGCTATAAAATAAAGATAAAACTTTCATAGGTCATGTACTTGTAATGATTGGTTGTTGGGCAGATATGATTGTTGCATTATTCTGAATGAAAAAAAAAAATGTTAATACAAATGAACTGTGTAAATCTTAGGGTTTCTGCTATTCACTCAACAAATTGGTCTGTATGAGATGAATGGTACTTTAACTGTACAAGATATAAAAAAAATTGTTGCTAAATGGTGCTTTGTTATTGTGGTCCTTTATAGTATGTACATCCTATTGTGTTACATTTCCATTGTTTGGTCAGTGTTCATATTGTAACATACACATTTTAGATTTTTTTTTAAGCTTTAATGTTGGGTTGCCACCCATCCCTTTTTATCATCTAGTTAGCCTGACCATTTTTTTTTCATGCTAGAAAAACAAGTAACTTATTTTCTCAACTGAAACTCTGTGATTGTTACAACAAACTTGATATTCTATGAAATGTTGCTGTGAAAATTATTTATTAACTTAGATGTCTGTGGCTGTACGTGAAATCAAAATTCAAATTGTAGTATTTTATCTACATTGCTCTACAGAAATCAAAACAATTTAGATACATTGTTATGACTAATACTTTATCAGCTTAAATCAAAGGTAAGCAGAGTGCCAGATACATTTCATACCACGCTGGCATTAACATGAGAATATATTATACATCAGAGAAATTACTTTAAGTTGCTGCATATGTAAGTTGTTTTATTTTTATCGTTTTTTTTGTGAGCAACTTGTGGTGGTGGGACCTGCTGTACTCAATAAAACATCACTCATTGTCTGAATCAGTGAAACATACCTGGGTGTTACCTTTCTTTATTTGTCTTATGCTGTTCGTCTCTACTAAAGCTACACTGATGCCTTTTAACTCACTTGTTTTAAAATTAAAGCAATGTTAATTAAAATAACTCCTTTTTTTAATTGTTTGAAGAGATAATTATATTTTTCAACATTTTGATCCACTTTCATCATTGTTTATATGAGAGAAACATATAAAATTTGTCTTATCTTGAACTATAATAAATACAATATTGTTTAATTACAATAACATTTATACATCTTTGCAAGTCAAAACAAAGGCATTTGTTTTATCAAAACTTAAGTAAAAATAATTTTTAAAAAAGGCCCTGTACTTCAAGTACAAGTTAATGAAAACTGAAAACTTTGTTTTATCACTAAATGCATTTTATTCCAATGTTTGTATATGATTGACAAAAAAATATACAATGAAAATGTCACCTATATCATCAACTAGTCAATGTTCATGTGTACCCTGGTTGCTTCTGAACATCTAACAACTAATTTCTAAGTTATTTGACACTAAAACTAAAAGAAAATTTTAAATGTAAAGTGAAAGTTTTAAGTTAAATCAAAAGCAGTTGCAATGTTAAACCTGCAGAAATAAAATATATTTGAGCTTATTTAAATGTATTAATAAATATTTATTATAATTATATATTAGTTAGTAACAAAATAATTCATTACTCTATCGACATTTTAATAAAGTAGCATTGATCATTTGGGATCACGCAAAAATTATAAAACACAGAAACTGCATTTTTCACAGTAATTAAAAGAAAATGGTAAAATATTCATTTAAAAAGTGTTCTATTACACTGCTATTCAAATACGCCTATAAAAACTACTATTTAAATAAACCAATGCTAGATCTATATAATATGCACAATATTAAAATGTGTATATTCACTTATCTGATAGAACTAATTTGATTAAATTATTGGTAGAATACGGTCAGTGGAATAGCTTGGAGATTTATTTTTGTTCTTTTAGTAGTTACAGACCATAATAATAAGCAACAACATTCTTGAATTTTAACTGTTACAATTTTTACCTTTTCCAGATTAAAGAAACAACACAGAAATGAAAGGTTAACCAATGCATAATAAATAATATTAATGACACAAGAAAAAATCATTTTTGAAGAAATTAAATCAGCCCCAACAAGTAGCATTTATTTGATGGACATTGTATTTAAATTTGTCAGATGCTGTCTTGGAAAAAGTCAATGACTCAGTTCAGTTTTATAATATAAAAAATTGCAAGTACATTGTAAAATTTAAGCTTCATCCACTGTACCATGTGAAGTGGGGTAATTGCCAATGTCATAGCACCTGTTTTGATTAACATTTCCGTTAATTTGTAACCCAAATGATTTTAGGATTTATAAAATTTGATAAGGAATCACACAAACTTATCGAAAAGCAAAAAAATGTTTGTGAATTATCCAGTTTCCAGGGACGGTATAAAAAAACTTAATTCAAACTACCTAATTTGATGAGACTAAGAAGAAAGCATAAAAGGGGGCAGAAGATGTTAGCAAAAATATTTCATCTCTATGTGGATAATACTTGGTTGCCAGGGAAAGGTACATCTTGGCACTGAGGTGGAAAAACATTTGTAACACCATTCATGAAAGACATGAACATACACGGGTCATTTTTGTGCTTTTGTCTCCATATGTATTCAAAAAAGTGGATATTAAACTGAGGAGAGCTAAGGCTTTTTTTAATTTCATTCCACTGTGATTGGCTGTTAGATTCTAAAGTATCTGACTCTGATTCGGACAGACTGTTAAATTCAATAGAGCTATTTTCTCTTAGCTCAGAAAACTCATCATCCTCAAAAAAATCATATGTGTTCCAGCAATCACTAAGGACAATTGTTCCAGGTTTTATCCATTCTTTTATAACCTTTACTAAGGCATTCTTACTGCACCGGGGCACTACACAGATGAAAAACTTAGCAGTTGCTGGTTCTATTCCACTAAACACCCACTCTTCCTCTCTTTTCTTTTCTCTAGGTAATTTTAATTGTACAAATACACTTTCGTAAAACTCTACAATAACTCCAGGTCCTCCTAATACTTCACTTTCGTTAACACATAGTTCAAAACACACATTTCTACAATAACTTGTCCAATCAGAAACAGTTGTGCCACTGGCTTCTAATTCTTCACTAATACTCTCATAGTTCCATTGGGTAATCCACATAAAGGTTAATATTACTATTTTATCAAAAGAAAGATGACTTGTTTCAAACCATGTCCCTTTTCTGACAGTTCTTTGTACACTATGAAAACCAACCAGTGGACCACTTTGTATTTTACATTTCCAAGCTACCCCATCATGTTTATCTTGCTTTTGAGCCAACTTCATATCTCTTCCACATTTAGGACATATATATCTCTTGGCCAAAATACCGGAGTCCATTAGCCACTGCATCATTTTTACTTTATCCCCAACTAAATTTGCATAAAAATATCTCAAACTAAGTGCTTGTTCATCCATTGAAGTGTAATTTGTTTATTGTAGTTGTTTGAATGTAATAAATGAAAGTCTTGATTATGCTTGATTTTGATTTAGAATGCTGATCTAGATGGGAAAAAAGAATCTAGCTTTAATTATATGTTCATAATACATTTTTTTTCAATATAAAGTTAAAATTATTAATTATAATAACTAGACAAGTAATACACTAATGCCCTATAAGTTGTAAATGTAATTGATTTGCAAAGAACACTTTGTGAGAAAAGACAAAAAAATTGAACTGAGCAATCAGAAAAAATAAGACGCCTCTACAAAAACAAACTATTATAAAAATAAGACGCCTCTACAAAAACAAACTATTATAAAAACGTGACTGACAAACTTGTTTATTATGTAGCTATGTTTTTATTTCTTTTACTGAACTATTGCATCTCTAAGACCTATTAGAAAAGCTTTGTTGTGTGTTGTTATCAAAGAAAACTGTCATTTTTGCAACCAGGCCTACAGCGATTTTAGTCATCACTATAGTGTGTTTTTAAGAGCTCTGCCTTTTTGGATTATGAACAGAAATTACATTCAATTATCATGTTTTAAAAGAATAAACCAGGAATAATCTCTCCTAAGGGGTCGTCCATAAATGACGTCACACTCGTAGAGGAAGGGGGGGTCCGTAATTTTGTGACGGTGTGTGATGAGGGGGAGGGGGTGTTCAGATGGTGTGACGTCACACTTTTGCATTATAAAAAAGCAATGTTAGAAACCAGCTTTAGCCGTTATATCGCGTTTTAGAAAAAGGTTTTAATAAATTGTAATAGGAATTGATCGAAATACTCTATGTTGACAGCGTTCTGACAAGATTCTGAGGAGGGTTGTAGGCTGAGGTGTGACGTCATTTTAGGGTGGGGGGGGGGGGGGGTCTGGGTTTTTGTGACAACGTGTGATGGAGGGGAGGGGGGGGGGAGGTAAAAATGGTCAAAAAAAGCGTGACGTCATTTATGGATGACCCCTAAACTTTCTCGAATATTCTTATATAAAACAACAGGGGATGGCAACTCGGGATATAGACATGATTTTTAATCTATTTTTAATTACTTAAATTTTTAAAATATAATAAAATCTCGTAGAAAAAAGAATTGCACACACGAACGCCAAGCAAAATGTGCAGAATATTATTAGTACTTTATAAATTCATATTCATTTTAGCAGAATCAGAAATCGCATAAATTACTACTTCCGGTCAACAAAAATTACTCAAAATTTGACAGGAGGCAGAGAATTAGATCTTTTACACATGAAATTTCATTTATCTATCTGAAATAGTTCTCAAGTTACAAGCTTTTGAAAAATTGAAAGTAGAAAAAGTTCCACTTCCGGTTATCGGTAACACTTAAAAGTTGATACGGATCTACAAATTTGATAAAATACTTATACATGAAATTTCATCAACCATAACGGTACTCAAGTTATTGTGTTTACAGACACACATAAACACACAGACAAGATTGCAAAACTATGTTTTTCCGACACATGGAGGTGTAAAACGTCAAGATTTGTAAAAATCTCAATTTTTTTTTTGCACGATTACAAGACTTTCTCTAGATCTATATTTCGTATATACGAGAAAGTAAAAAAGAAAAAAGGACAAGCATTCTGAAAATGCTAATAATATAATAATATATAGATCTACTAGCGTACCCGTCCCCGCGCGTTGCCGCGGGAATAGGAGATAGTCCGACGAAATATATAAGAAGGGATTCATCCATGCGTTACCAATCCTATATTCTTAGACTCATGACCTTATTTTCTAAAAGTTATTTATTTAAATGTAAACTATGCCTGCGCTTGGATCATAAATATCGGGACACGGGTTTACCTACACTACCGCGTGAAAACCTTATGTGTACATTAATCAGAACACACTTCGGTGACCACCCATGTGTCAGGGACGAAGAGGGCCGCTCTCAGGAGGCCCCCTCCCCTGATTACAGTATCGCATAGGCGCAGCGTACGACCCCTGGCTCCTTAAAACTAACAGGCGCCATCGTGCTCATAGGATAACCCAGAGTACCAAATATCATCCTGTAAACAATGATGCACATTGCGTCATTCGCTGAAGTGACACAAATGAACAGGATTTTTTTTCTTTTACACGTAAAAATTATTTGATGTGTTTTAAACTCAGTGTGACTGATGCAATATGATAGCGTTACTAATGGTCTATTATTAGATGCTCGATCTCAATTTCTGACTGGATCGTCTAATAATAGATGCTTATTGCATCATTCGCAAAGTGACGAAACTCTACAGTAGGCTCCACATATTCAAAAAGTTATTTTTTCATCTTTCGCAAGATGACGAAACTGTACAGAAGAATTTCCTCGCGTTACAAAGTTATTTTTAGAAGTCTGTTGTAGCTTTACCGCTGAATATAGTAGTACCCCTTACTCGCTATGCAGGACGCTCGATTAACGGATGCCAAGTACCAACATAGTCGCTCTAAAACTTTGGGCGCCAAACCGTGTAATCGTGTATTGACAAAAATTGTACCCTACATGGCGCCGCCCATAAGAAACTTTAGTTTTCTTTTTCGCAGAAATATTCTCAGGAGTATTCTCATCTACTCCTTAAAGTTTCATGGCACTCGGATGAACCGCATCCGAGTTTTTTTTTTATATACCGTGTATAGAGAAAAAAATCGCTTTCCCCTGGGGCGCCGCCCTTGCAATATTAAAATTTTTTTTTTTTGCAGATTCCTACCATTGAGTGATCTAATCATCTCCCCAAAGTTTCATGGTACACAGATGAACGGTGTGAAAACGAAATTTTATAAACCATATATAGAGAAAAATCGCAGCAGCCCGTGGCGCCGCCCTTGCGAAATTAACAAAGGTGTTTTTTTACAGAACCCTTCCCTGAATTGTTCTAATCAACTCCCCCAAAGTATCATGGCTATCGGATAACGGTGTCACACCAAAATCGACTTATTTTTATAAACCGTATATAGAGAAAAATCGCACCCTCCCGTGGCGCCGCCCTTGCGAAATTAAAAATGATTTTTTACAGAACCCTTCCCTAGTGTTTTATAATGAACTCCACAAAGTCTCATGCCTATCGGATAAACGGTGTCACTGCAATTCACTTTTATTATTTTTATATACCGTAAATAGAGAAAAATCGGACCCTCCACTGGCGCCGCCCTTGCGAAATTAAAAATTTTTTTTTTTACAGAACCCTTCCCTAGAGTGGTATAATGAACTCCCCAAAGTCTCATGGCTATCGGATGAACAGTGAGAAATCAAAATAGACTTTTAATTTTATATACCGTATATAGAGAAAAACAAATCGCGCCCTGCCGGGGCGCCACCCCTGCGAATTTGAAATTTTTTTCGCAGAAACCTCCCCAGGAATATTCTCAACAACTTCCCAAAGTTTCACGGCGATGTGATAAGAGGTGTGGTAATGCATAAAAGACACACAGACAGACACACACACACACAGACATACATTGCTTTATATATATATAGATAGATAAATATATATTACGAGAAAAATGGCCCGTTGAGGAAGAATACACCGGGCGCTAGGTTGATAGTGCTGTCTATTTTCTCTAAACTAAAACCACCCCATCCCCCACACACCAACACCCCCCACCCTCACCCCCCCCACACACCAACACCCCCCCCCCCCCCACCCCCACCCCCCAAAAAACATGTCTACCGTCCCATTCAACGAAATATAATTATATACTTTTTCCAGTGTCCGCCCCCTCCCCGAAAATTCTACCCCCGCCCCCGAAAATTTCAAGTACCCCCACCCCTCTCCGGGGAGGAAAAAGTCTGAAAGAAACACTGGTGTCGCGCTTAGCCACTACCCGAAGAATTGCATTAAAGAAATTGCAAGAAAACCACTTTTTAGATTAGACACATTAATTAGGCGGTAATTTTATAGAGTATCGATGAAGAAATTTCTTTTGAGTTAGGGAGGGGGGGGGGGGGGGCTCAGACGTTCTTACGCGGGGGTGGGGCTTCGCCCCTACCCGAAGAATTGTATGAATGAAACCACTGAGATTAGACAAAATTGGGTTTTTATTCAATGTTTACTCGAGAATCAATGACGTCATATTACTGTGTACACTCTCCGGCTTGATAATATTTTCTTCTATATGCTCAATGACGTCATCTATAATAATAGTTTCCCTGTATTTTCATAGTTTCACTATGCATGTTTTTAATTTCCTTGTGTTTTCTCTAGAGCGTTCTTGTCAGACAGATAGATACATAGAGAGACAGCGAAACTATTAATATTAATATACTGACTCTAGACCTACACATTAATAATTATTACTCTAATAATTAATTTACTGATTGCTTCATTTTCTTAAACAATTAAAATATTTAGGCTAGACTTTAATGCATTGTTTTTTGCGTTCTGTATCCCAGTTTAGTTTTCAGTTCTGCATTTTTTTTTTTACATTGTTTGTAAAGAAATACTTTGAAACGTCCAAAATATCCCAGGAATTGAATGGGATGGGGTTCAAAATACATTCACATTGCTTGACTAACTTTAAAAATCATCTTGCTGGTAGATCTAGAATCTAGATAGATTTCTAGATCTAGATTTCAATCGAAAAATTATAGTCTAGAATCTAGAATGTGTGGGGTTTTTGCAGTGAACTAGATCCAGATATTACGACTAAAGATAATTTAATTATTAAGATATCTAGATTCTAGATCTAGATTAGATCTAATCTAGATTCTAGATCTTCTAGATTCTAGTAGAAATCTAGATCTAGATCTAGTAGATTCTAGATCTAGAAGTAAAATCTAGATCTAGAGATTCTAGATCTAGATCTAGATATCTAAATTCTAGGGCATAAGCCTAAAAAAAAATCTAAAATTATTAAAAAATTAATGGACACCAGCGAGTTACAATTAAATGTCAATTATTCTACAATACACAAGTACTTCGATAGTTACTAGATCTAGATCTCATAGATCTAATAATTTACTGTATAGATCTAGATCTAGTAGTAGTACGCTTTAATGTTGTACTGCCAAAAGAAGTTGCATACACCACATGCCCACTGTTACTACGTTATTCCCCCGTTGAATAGGCCTACCTATTTTGATTACGCTGCTCTTTCTTTTAATTGTCTAGCAGTAGTAGCAGACGCTCCAGGTCAAAGGTCCTGCTTGTTTTATATATGGATGACTGGCTTTGTGTTCTAAACATGTTTGTATAGTATAGAGGGGGGGGGGGGGGGTCATCCATAAATGACGTCACGCTTTTTGGACGATTTTTACCTCTCCCTCCCCTCCGTCACAATTAGCCAGACCCCCCCCCCCTCCTAAAATGACGTCACACCTCAACCCCCCCCCCCCCTCAAAAAATTAATTGCAGTTGAATTTTTCTTAAAATACGATATTTCCCGATAATCTTGTCTGAACTGTTAACATAGAATATTTTAATCAATTCCTATTACAATTTATTAAAACAGAATTCTAAAATGCGAAATAACGGCTAAAATTAAAATTAGTTTTCTAACATTGCTTTTTTTAAAATGCACAAGTGTGACGTCACACTATCTCCCCCCCCCCCCCCCCAGTTTCTGTGGTCAAAATTACTACTTCAATAGACTCAATTTGGCTGTTATATTTTTTTTCCTCTCAAATAAACTTCCATTTTCCCCATAGGTAGTGTAGTATAGCTTATTTCTATATTAGCTATTTATATATCAGAATAATGTGTGTGAGTAGATACCATTAAACTTGGTACTGTTTGTCAAAGTGATGCCTTCATTTTGTTTATTAAGCTCACACACTAAGAGATCTTGTGCTGCATTATTTGCTACTGTTGATATCAAAATTACTAGACATGTTCTATTTCGAGTGTTACAGTTACTGTTTCCCTATCAAGAATTTTTTGTTTAACCTTTAATTTCTCAACAGCAATCTCAGCAAAGAAAGCAATTGTACACTAGCCACACTATGCTTCATAGACGGGGATAGGACTTAGAAGCTGACATTGTTTTGTTGTTGAGCTCCACTCCAGCATTAGTCAGATCAAAAATTTTCTTGCTCCGCCGAGCTGAGCATCTTTCAGTCATCACTGTGGGGCGTTAGATTCAAGAGCCTCACTTGGATAAAAATAAAATGTCTGAAAGAAACATAACTTTGTCCCTAGTTTTGACCTGCATTAAATACACATGCTGGCCTTGAACAGCAGAGTTTTCTTGTTACGGGCTATCTGAATTATCTCCTCTCTGCTAAAAGCCTAATATTCTCAGAAATGAACAGATCACTTTTAAAGTATTAAAGGAAGCAAGTTTTAAATTGGGGACGAAGTGGTCTAGCGGTAGAGAACTGGGCTGCTAACCCATAAGTCTCGAGTTTGAATCCGGGGTTCAAGTCAGTAGACCGTCCCAGAGTCCACCCAACTCTAATGGGTACCTAACTCATGTTAGGGAAAGTAAAGGCGGCTGGGCATAGTGCTGACCACACTATCCCTTCATATGCCGAGGTCACGGAAACTCTACTTGCCCCATAGACCGACAGGCCTGAAAGGGAACTTTACTAAGTTTTAAATGATAAAAATAACACTGTAAGAAAAAAATAATAATTTCAGGCATACTAAATATAATCAGGGGTGGACAGGGCCAGCAGAAAAATTATGGTTGGCCACCTGGAAGAAATCCCAGTGGGTCGCCCTGATCAAGCTTGAACTTGAAAGGAAACATATATACTATTAGTATTATAATGAGCCCTTTTTATTTATTTTCTGGACTGCAAGGGCACAACCAGTCTTCCCCTGAACATATTATTTAATTAAAATAGTTTTTAAAACAACAAAAATGCTAATAAATAGATTATTTGATATATTTTAATTGTTTATAAAATACATGACATAAAGTATGAAGAATCTGGAAATGAGTGTGAGTAAATAACAAAAATACTTTGTGTGGTAGTATATAAATCAATACACTGAAAGTTATTGTAACAAAATAATACACTTAATATGAACAATTTGAATTAAATATGAAATAAATAAGATATGTATGTAATATTAGAACAAAATTGGTATTTGTACATTTTATGGTAAATACAACTGAATAAAATTTCAATGAACATGCAACATTTTATCCATTATGAAAATGAAATTCCAGGACCAGATTAATCCCCAGTTGCCTCTAGAGATCCCCTAAAATTAGGTAGCCATCTGAGCTGGATTGTGTTACTATGTAGGCTCAATCTTAGAGACCAGCCTATCAAAAAGAGAATCTGCCTCAATGCTTCAGGATGAGGAAAAATAAATGCTGGACAACCTCTTGAAGATAACCTGTAGTGAAATTTTGCTAATAGAAAGAGAAAGTACTAAAAATAATATAGTTTAATTGTAATTTTAAAAAATCATGGGAAACAAAACTTAATTGTAAGGACAAGTGCAAAATTTAAGTTGAATCAAAATAAGAACTTAAACTAAACAAGTTAAAGCAATATTTTAATGAACAAACCTTTTACATGTTGGCCAAAACCAATAGCATGATATATATATTTTAACATTTCAATAGAGAAGAAAAATAAATAAAGCAACTTAATTGTAAATAAAATCAAGTAGCCTACTGCTACAGCACATGTTTTTCATGTTTATTTATAGCTCACAAACAACTGAGATATACTACAAGTATTTCTTAATCTTCTTGGCATTACAATACAGCAAAAAGAAAAAATTTTAACCTGTTAATCATGGCTTTTAGGTGGAAAAACATTTGTAACACCATTCATGAAAGACATGAACATACAAGGATCATTTTTGTGCTTTTGTCTCCATATGTATTCAAAAAAGTGGATATTAAATTGACAAGAGCTAAGGCTTTTTTTAATTTCACTCCATTTACTATAAGCTTCAGGAGCATCTAACTGGGATTCGGACAGACTGTTAAATTCAATAGAGCTATTGTCTCTAAGCTGTGTGAACTCATCATCCTCCAAACAATTGTATGTGTTCCAGCAATCACCAAGGACAACAGTTCCGGGTTTTATCCATTCTTTTAGAACCTTTACTAAGGCATCAGTGCTGCGGTGGGGCACAATACAGATGAAAAATTTAGCAGTTGCTGGTTCTATTCCTCCAAATACCCACTTTCCTTCAATTCGCTTGTTTTTAGGCAATTTTACTTTTCCCAATAAACACTCATAAAACTCAACAGTAACACCAGGTCCACCTAATACTTCACTTTCGTTAACACATAATTGAACACAAACATTTCTGCAATAACTTGTCCATTCAGTAACAGTACAAGAACTTGCTTGTAATTCTTCAATTATACTATCACAATTCCATTGTGTAATCCACATAAAGGTTAATAGTAGCATTTTGTCGAACGATAATTTACTGGTTTCAAACCACGTTCCTTTTCTTATTGTTCTCTCCATTTCATGGTTTTCAGGACCAGTTCTAGATCTAGTTCTTAATGAACACTTCCAAATAACACCATCTTTTAAACATTTTCTTAAAACCAACATCATATTTTTTCCACATTTAGGACAGGTATATCTGTTGGTCAAAAATCCTAAATCCATAAGCCAGTGTGCCATTTTCTTTTTATCCCCCACAAAATGAACATAAAAGAATCTCAGGCTTACTTCTTGTTGTGCCATTTTAAATAACAAAAACTGGTCTGAACAAGACAATATTTGAATAATGAATATTAATTTAGTAAATTAGTTACTAATTAGGCCTAATAATAGTATTTAGTATTTAATAGGCCTATCAAACTATCAATATTTGAGTCAATATTTGACTATTAATATTATTTGACAGTAGGTACTTCCTAAAATCCTTAGTGACTGGTGATTTAGAATTTAGGGCAATTTTGAATTTAGGGACGTAATTTTAATTTTGTATTATGATTTTATTTATCGAGATCTAGTCGAGATCTAGAACTATAGGTATTAGGTATAGGCCAGCCTATTAACTAAAACATTCTAGATTACATAGATATATCTTATTTATCTAGATCTAGATAGAGAAGTGTGTTTTCTAGATCTAGATTTCTAGATCTAGCATTCTTGTCGATAATTTTGCAAAATAAAAAGTTTGGTTTGATCTAGCAGACAAAATTTGGTTTATTATTTTTATGCAGTTCCAGGCAGTTCAAAAGTACTACTGCATGAAAAGCTGGCTCCAAATTGCTTCACTTAGTTGTTGCCAGAAAGCATATTTTTCAACCAAAATTGAATATTTTATAACATTTGTGAAATAATTACAAAATCACTACCACCGGTTTTTAGAGGCTAGAAATATTCAAGCAAAAAATTACTATTACTATAATAGTAATTTAATTCATCAAACTACAGGGTGTTATATTATTTAATATAAATAAACTATATGGCTGGTAAACTATAGGGCTGGTAAGTAGGTCACCAATCAGTTCTACGGCTCAATAAAACCTGCATGAGCCATAGAACTGGTTGGTGACCTACTTACCAGCCATATAGGCCTGCCCCATTGTAAAATTAAGTAAAGCGTAATTAATATCAACATTTCCCTTATTATTTTTAATATAGGCCTAATCAACGTTGACCTACCTCTGACTATGACCTATGGGGTCATCTATTAACGATGTCGCGTTTTGTCCACCCCCCCCCCCACCCCCACTCACTCTCTATCGTTACCAAAAACCAACAAGAAACAATAAAATAATTTTGACTGTCACTCACACACCCTTTACACACATGTGTGTCCAAAAACCACCTCGACCTCATGCGACACACCATTGCAAGGTAACCACATCCCCCCCCCCCATCCAATACCACACACAACACTGCCATGTCATACTTTGAAACTAAAAAAAAAACAACAAATTATTCTAAATAAATTTATAATTTAGAACATTTTATTTAAAGCGAATAAAATAACATCTTTATTGTCCTTAAAGGATATGTCATTCATCTTGTACACAACCATTCTAAATGACTATATAACATTTGTTTTACTTTTTGTGTTACAAAAAATCAAGAAATACAGTGTATCTGTGTCAGTGTTATATAAAACTGCTGCAAACAACCATAAATTTCACATAGCAGAATCTATCAAAACGACAAACTACTCCAACCCATTTACATTACAGGGCTATCACATGTACCTGAATATTATGTAGACTACAGGAATAACATTTATATTAATGAAGCTTCACTAAAATACGAATAGACTAGAGTTCTTGATTGTAATATAAACATGATAAAAATTATATGATGATCATCAGATTAAATAAACACGTAGGTAAGTAGGGCCTACATAAAAAAAAAACGTTGAACAACGATCCACCATAAAACACACAGACTGTATGACAGTCTTGTGGCTACAGTAAGGTACAAACAATAGCGTCTGATGGTATCCTAGACTAGACTCCATTGACGCTAATAGTATCATTACAAAGTTTCTATTTGTTTAGGTCTTCTCTTCTTATTCAAATATAATATACTCGTCTTAATTCGATTTCTTGTTGGAATGGTGATAATTCATTTTTAAATCTCAACATCTATTAAGTAAAAGATTGTGAAGATGGCAAAGATTGTCTCTTTCTGCCATCTTTCGTGCCGTGTCCCCTTCGTTGTTTACAACATCCGGACACGCCCCTTTCTTCATCAACAGCTCGACCAAATTGGCGTTATTGATTTTAACAGCAAACAAAATGGCGGTCCACCCATAGGAGTCAGCAACGTTGACGTCTGCACTGTGGCTTAGAAGGAGGGCGACGTTATCCAGCAGACTCAAGTCTGTGGCCACCATCAGGGGAGTTAAACCGTCGTTCGCGGCGTCATTGGCATCGCAGCCCGTGTCGAGGAAAAATTCTAACACTTTAGAGTTGCTGTTCTTGGCTGCGAATATGACAACATTCCAGCCTTCGTTGTCTTTCATGTTGACGTCTGCTCCACGTTTGATCAAATAAGAGACAACTTCCTTACTGGCACTCTCGGCTGCTATCATCAGGGAGGTGAACCCACCTCGAGCAATGTGATTGACATTACCGTCATTATCTAGCAAAAGTTTGATGACGTCAACATCGCCTTGTCTAACACCATGCATCAATGGGCTCCATCCATTCGAATCTTCACTGTTGACGTCAGCGCTACGGATGATTAAAAATCTGGCAATAGAAACATTTCCGTTTGCCGCGCTAACCATCAGGGCAGTGACCCCATCGTCTGCTGATTGGTTCACGTGACATCCACATTCAACTAATCGTTTCACGAGCTCCAGGTTAATATGTGTGGATGCCGCCATTAAAGCCGTATATCCCTGGTTATCCGTGTGGTTTGGGTTAGCGCCATGTTTGATCAAAAGTTCAACGACCTCAGGTGACCCTCCGTCTGCTGCAATCAGTAGAGTTGTCTTCCCATCATTGGTCACGTGATTCACATCGCCGCCCTTCTCTAACAGGAAACTGATATTTTCTTTGTTATCATCTTTAACAGCCAACAACAGCGCTGTCCAGCCGTGTTGGTCAACGATATGTTGGTCAGCACCTCTGGTAACCAAGACAACCAGACATTTATTTTGGCCACTCTTTGCTGCCAGCATTAACGCCGTCTGACCATCAACATTGACGTAATCTATCTTTGCCCCTTGGTCTAACAACAGGTTGACGCTATCAACATGGCCATTGCTTGCAGCGTACATCAGCGCCGTGTGTCCGGTCTCGTCTCTCAAGTTCACGTCCGCACGTCTAGACAACAAGAGCTCCAGGAAATCCTTCCGTCCGTTCTCTGCTGCCATCATCAGAGCCGTGCGTCCAGTTAGAGAGACGCGGTTGACGTCAGCACCACGTGACAGTAAGACCAGCACGTGCTGTTTGTTGCCTCCCTTCACGGCCTGCATCAGAGCGGTCTCTCCGTTCTTATCACACGCATCAACATCAGCCCCAGCCTCAAGTAAAACAGCCAACACTTTCCTCATCTCCTTGCTAACAGCAGACCTCAATGCCTTGAAAAACGGCTCAAAAGATTTCTTTAATTGACCATTGTCAAGTAAGTCCATCTGATAAAATATCATAAATAAATTTAATACAAAAAAGAAAAGCTGCAAAAATAAATTTTTACTGTTGTTATTTTGAGACATTTCTTCATTCAACTTGATCTGCTTTTTTATCTCCAAGAAGAGATTTTGCATTATGGGATAGTTTTTAATTAACTGTTCAAAGTTCGAGTCTGTCTGCGGGTCGTCTGCAAGCATCAACGCCTTGAAAGCCATCAATAAAGGCTGGGCATTTTCCATGACGACATTGATCAATTGTAAGTGCGACATGTCGACACTGTGTTGGTTCTTGGGAACTAACAATATTTTTACGAGGGCCATAAACAGAAGCTTCAAATCTTCCTTGATGTTGCGACTTTTTAGTAACTGTTCTATATAAACTTCAAGTTGATTGTTGACAGTGTGCATTAAGACTGTCCAGCCATTGTCGTCTGAAATTTTAACGTTTGCGCCATGTTGAATTAACAGCTCGAGTGTTTGTAACGGTGCTCCGTGTTTTGCCGCCATCATTAAAGCTGTCTGCCGGTTGTTCGACAAGTGATTGACGTCACTTCCATGATCCAGAAGTTTCTGCACAGAAGAGACATTGACTCCACCAGCGGCGAACATGAGAGCCGTGACGCCATCTTTAGTTGTCTTCTTTACTCTGGCCCCGTGTCTGATTAACATCTCGATGTTGTTGTCTAATGAACAGATAGAGGCACACATTAGCGCTGTGACGCCGTCTTTAGACGCCATGTTGACACTGACGCCACTGTCTATCAACATCTCTACAATCTGCGAGTCACCTTGCAGTGACGCGTACATTAAAGACGAAAAACCTTGGCAATCTCTGGACTGTATATCTGCACCACGATCTATTAAGTAGCTGGCTATTTCTTTCCGACCAGAATACACCGCCGCCATTACTGGAGTAAACCCTTTCGTATGAGGCTGGTTTACACAAACCCCGCGGTTTAACAGATCGGTTAGGTTTTGTTCGTTGCCAGACCTAGCCGCCAGCAACAGGGGCGTCCACCCATCATTATCTCGCTGGTTGAGATTGGCACATCTATTCATTAAAATACGAAATACTTCTGAGTGGTTCGCGATCATCAAGGCGGTGATTCCTTCATCATCTGCTTGGTTCACATCTGCACCGTTATCTAGCAGTAGTAAAACTGTTGGATCATCGCCTCTACCAGCGGCAAACATCAGGGGCGTCACCCCTTGGTTGTTGCAGGCGTTGACCCCCGCCCCTGACATGACGAGAACGGCGCAGACTTGCACGTGACCGTTGGACGCGGCTACCATCAGAGCTGTGTTGCCGTCGTCATCCATCTGCCCAGCATCAGCTCCTGCGCCCAGCAACAGCTCCACAGCTTCCATCTCTCCAGCTTGCGAGGCGTACATCAGCGCAGTCCATCTTTTCTTGTCCTGTAGCGTCACGTCTGCGCCATGTTTGATCAGCTGTTGCATTATGTCTAAACGAGCAAAGTTATTTACTCTGAAATCACCACTTTGTTGCTGGATCATTTCCAAAGCACCAACATTATTCACTCCTGCAAGACCAATCTGGTGCTGCACATTTGGCTGCACATTTCCCAAAGCAACAAAATTATTTAGTCCTGCAAGACCAATTTGTTGCTGGATCATTTCCAAAGGACCAAAATTATTTACTCCTGCAAGACCATGTTGCTGCACATTTTGCTGCACATTTCCCAAAGCAAGAAAATTATTTACTCCTGCAAGACCAATTTGTTGCTGCACATTTTGCTGCACATTTCCCAAAGCACCAAAATTATTTACTCCTGCAAGACCAATCTGTTGCTGCACATTTTGCTGCACATTTCCCAAAGCAAGAAAATTATTTAGTCCTGCAAGACCAATCTGTTGCTGCACATTTTGCTGCACATTTCCCAAAGCAAGAAAATTATTTACTCCTGCAAGACCAATCTGTTGCTGCACATTTTGCTGCACATTTCCCAAAGCAAGAAAATTATTTACTCCTGCAAGACCAATCTGTTGCTGCACATTTTGCTGCACATTCCCCAAAGCACCAAAATTATTTACTCCTGCAAAACCAATTTGTTGCTGTGTTATTTCTAATTGACCTTCAACCAAATGCCTATTGCTTATTTCTCCCACTCCGCTAAAATAAGCCGCCAGCATCAACGCTGTGACGCCATCAATCGTCATCTCATTGACCTCCACGTCTTTCCCCAGCAACATTTTAAACAGGGCAGAGTTTCCAGAGCTGACCGCTGCCATCAGTACAGTCCACTGGTCAAGTCTGATACACTCAAGTTTGGCGCCGTGCTCCAGCAGGGTACGCACGACCTTGACCTTCCCATGCTCGGCCGCCACCAGCAAAGCGTTGACCCCGTAAACTGTAGCGTACTCCACCTCTGCTCCCTTCCTGATCAGGTGTTTGACGTTGCCATGGTTACCGTGTCTGGATGCAAACATCAGAGCCGTCCAACCTCGAGACTCGTTTCTGTTCACGTCAGCCCCAAATTTGAGCAGAGACTTTAGAATTTCTGTGTGTCCACATTCAGCTGCTATCATCAGCGCTGTGACGCCGAACATGGACGTGTCGTCTACTTGTTTTGTTTGTAAAATAGTTTGTATCACCTCCCCCATGTTATCATTCACCACACTAGTCAGCAGTGAAGGCATGGATGCGTCCTCACGGATGTTTACATTGTAAAAGTTGTTTGCCCCGACAAAGTTACCATCACGCAAAGGTAGCAGTTCTTTTACTCTGTAATTTACATTAGGCAAAGATTCCATTCTTGAAAATACTTTACTAGGCGGATTGTTTTAAGTATATGCCAGTTGTCTGGGGGTTGAAAAAGCAAGCCACACATGAGTGTTACATCAAGAAATAAAGCGGGAGTGATCTCCCCTAAACGTTCTCGATATATATATATATATATATATATATATATATATATATATATATATATATATATATATATATATATATATATATATATATATATACTACAACTCAAGTTTACATGTTTGATAATTTTTTGTTTGTTTGTTTGTCTGTATGGTTACAGGAGAGAATCTGCATTATGTGTAGAGCTGTAAAATAGTATTTAGGAAGAGAACAATGTTCTTTTTTAAACTTTTAAACACACCGTTAATCACAAATTAATTTAAAGACGTTAATTAATTTATTGATGTATTCAATGGTATATTAATCACAGTAATTAATTTTTTTTATAGTGACGTCATATGATTTATTTACTTTTTACAACAATAATGGCGGCTTCCATCGAATATTTTGTTGCACATTCAAACGTTTAACGCATTATAAAGCTAATTTTCCGTCGGCTATAGCTTTAACGATACTTCTGTTTGTTATTTTTATTTCGTTCCAACACTAATATCAAATTTGAACAGTCCTTTTCATTAAGTATACAATAAATTCTCTAGATCTAGAATCTACAAATCAGATGTCGAAAGGGAAAAGTTATAGATTGAGAATAAAAGTAAAATATATCATTAGTTACGTTTTTAATTCTACGAGACTAGATAGGTAAGAAATTAGCGAGTTAGGGACCATGCATGGTCCGATAGGCAAATTTATCAATCACATCTAAAAATAAAATTGAAAAAAAATTGACATGATGTCTCGAACCCGTATTTTATTTTTAGATGTGATTGATAAAGTTGCCTATCGGACCTTGTTGGCGGGGTACAGGGCAGGTGAAGTAGATTCCACCTGTTTCTGTGTCCTCGGCATATGAAAGGATAGTGTGGTCAGACCCATGCTCAGCCGAAATCGGCGTTTTTAAAAGACAAAACACGTCTTTTTAAATATGGGGTCTGGTTGTTTTGTGACGATAAGTGATAGACCTGATGTCATTTACGGATGACCCCCGAAACCCACATTTATCTAACTAGATAACGGGTAGTCTAGTTCTTATTTAACACTACGGGGATGCAACGCGCGATATAGACATGATTTTTAATCCATTTTTAATTACTTAAACTTTTTAAAATAGAATAGAATCTCGTAGAAAAAAGAATTGCGCAGCAAGTGAATGGAATATTGTTAGTACTTTATAAATTCATTTTTGTTTTTTGATAAATCAGAAATAGCTTAAATTACTAATTTCGGTCAACGGAAATTACTCAAAATTTGAATAATATTCAAGAATATTCGAGGAAGTTTAGGGGAGATCACTCTCGGTTTATTTAAATTGTAAAATTGAGCAAACTGCCCAAAGCTGACCGTGCCAATTCAATATTTAAAAAAAAAGAAGTCGCGATGTAAGGATTTTTTTTGGGGGGGGGGGGGGGGGGGGGTTGGGGGGCAGCGGCATTTTATGACGAAATATGTCCATAAGTTGGGAGAGAGGGTAAAATCGTTTGAAAATGTTGACGTCATTTATGAATGACATCTATAAATAAAGTAAGATACTAGGTCCATTTTTTACTTCATTATTTGACAGTAGGCCACATATAAAATAATTTAATTAAGCTGTTCCATTGATTGTCGGTGTGGCAACAGATTTGGCACAGCTTCATAAATAGCACTTTCCCCGATAGTTGCCAGTGAAGTATACTCGTGACCAATCAAACATTGATATTTCACAATGTGTTTGTGGGATTGATATTAGACAACATTAACACAAATGACTGTCACAAATTTGTCTTAGAAACAAAATGTCCTACCTTTCAACCGACAACACAAAATGTAAACAGCTTCATTGGAATCGAAATGAAAACATTCTGCGGGAATTCCCCGATGTTTATTGGCTAAGCACATGACCCAGCTCTAAAAATAGAATAAACGATTAGGTTTTTTTTTTCATATTCTCGTAGCTAGCTGATAGTAAAGATTTCCTAGAGCTAACTTACTAAGCCTATAGGAAAATTTGTGAAGTGGGTGAAACCGTTTCATTCGTTTCAGTTTCAAATTAGAATCGATTCTAAATATTTAAAAAAAAAATATCGTGATAAAAAAATGAATGTAAAGTAATAAAAAGCAATCCCCCCCCCCAATACCCCGTCCAATACCCCTATTACAAGTATTATTGGTTGTACATACAAAAAACTTTCTGGTGTGTTTAACGTAACGGACCAGCCGGCGGCCCTGTGGTCGTTAGAGGACTGGGGGGGCCCTGTGGACGTTAGAAAACTAGGGGCCCGTGGACCTTAGAAGACTGGGGGCCCTGTGAACGTTAGAAGACTGGGGGCCCTGTGGACGTTAGAAGACTGGGGGCCCCGTGGACGTTAGAAGACTGGGGGCCCTGTGGACGTTAGAAAACTGGGGGCCCGTGGACCTTAGAAGACTGGGGGCCCTGTGAACGTTAGAAGACTGGGGGCCCTGTGGACGTTAGAAGACTGGGGGCCCAGACCAGCCGGCGGCCCTGTGAACGTTAGAAGACTGGGGGTCCTGTGGACGTTAGAAAACTGGGGGCCCGTGGACCTTAGAAGACTGGGGGCCCTGTGGACGTTAGAAGACTGGGGGCCCAGACCAGCCGTCGGCCCTGTGGACGTTAGAAGACTGGGGGCCCTGTGGAAGTTAGAAGACTGGGGGCCCAGAGGACGTTAGAAGACTGGGGGCCCAGAGGACGTTAGAAGACTGGGGGCCCAGAGGACGTTAGAAGACTGGGGGCCCAGAGGACGTTAGAAGACTGGGGGCCCAGAGGACGTTAGAAGACTGGTGGCCCTGTGGAAGTTAGAAGACTGGGGCCGATAGGACGTTAGAAGACTGGGACCCCCGTGGACGTTAGAAGACTGGGGGCCCAGAGGACGTTAGAAGACTGGGGGCCCACAGGACGTTAGAAGACTGGGGGTCCTGTGGACGTTAGAAGACTGGGGGCCCAGACCAGCCGGCGGCTCCGTGGAAGTTAGAAGACTGGGGGCCCTGTGGACGTTAGAAGACTGGGGGCCCTGTGGACGTTAGAAGACTGGGGGCCCTGTGGAAGTTAGAAGACTGGGGGCCCTGTGGACGTTAGAAGACTGGTGGCCCTGTGGAAGTTAGAAGACTGGGGGCCCTGTGGACGTTAGAAGACTGGGCGCCCTGTGGAAGTTAGAAGACTGGGGGCCCTGTGGACGTTAGAAGACTGGTGGCCCTGTAGAAGTTAGAAGACTGGGGGCCCAGAGGACGTTAGAAGACTGGTGGCCCTGTGGAAGTTAGAAGACTGGGGGCCCAGAGGACGTTAGAAGACTGGGGGCCCAGAGGACGTTAGAAGACTGGGGGCCCAGAGGACGTTAGAAGACTGGGGGCCCCTTGGACGTTAGAAGACTGGGGGGCCAGACCAGCCGGCGGCTCCGTGGACGTTAGAAGACTGGGGGCCCTGTGGACGTTAGAAGACTGGGGGCCCTGTGGACGTCAGAAGACTGGGGGCCCTGTGGAAGTTAGAAGACTGGGGGCCCTGTGGAAGTTAGAAGACTGGGGGCCCTGTGGACGTTAGAAGACTGGGGGCCCTGTGGACGTTAGAAGACTGGGGGCCCTGTGGACGTCAGAAGACTGGTGGCCCATAGGACGTTAGAAGACTGGGGCCCCCGTGGACGTTAGAAGACTGGGGGCCCCTTGGACGTTAGAAGACTGGGGGGCCAGACCAGCCGGCGGCTCCGTGGACGTTAGAAGACTGGGGGCCCCGTGGACGTTAGAAGACTGGGGGCCCCGTGGACGTTAGAAGACTGGGGGCCCTTGCCCTCAGAAACCTACCCATGTTTTTGCTATATTAAAAGTAGAGGAAAGAGCTGACACACATTTATACTGTTCTGTATAATACTTAATTACGTTTGTCTAATTTTGTTTTTATTAAAAAATATTTTGATATATACTATACCTGTTTGCTATTTATTCTATGTATTAATTCTATTTCTTATAAAAGTAAATTTATATTTAGGATAAATGCTAACAATTCAAACCTTGACCTAAGTTAACAGAAACTAAGTTGATATAAAAGTGCACTAAGCACACCTCATACAACTAAATTGATATAAAAGTGCATTAACACACCTCCCACAACTAAATATATATTAAAGTGCACTGAGGACATTTTCCACAACTAAATTGATATAAAAGTGCACTAACACACCTCCCACAACTGAATTGATATACAAGTGCACTAACACACCTCCCACAACTAAATTGATATACAAGTGCACTGAGCACATTTTTCACAACTAAATTGATGTAAAGTGCACCAACATACCTCCCACAACTAAATTGATGTAAAAGTGCACTAACTCATCTCCCAAATTTCCCTTTAACTCACACGCGTGGTTGTAGCTGTATAAAAAACTGAATTTTAAATAAAGTTTAATAATAGTTATAGTCAGTAGTTATATCCAGAAAATTGTGTCTAGCTGTTGTAGATAGATGACTTGCTTGAGGGGTCATACAGAAAATTGTGTCTAGCTGTTGTAGATAGATGACTTGCTTGAGGGGTCATACAGAAAATTGTGTCTAGCTGTTGTAGATAGATGACTTGCTTGAGGGGTCAATCAGAAAATTGTGTCTAGCTGTTGTAGATAGATGACTTGATTGAGGGGTCATACAGAAAATTGTGTCTAGCTGTTGTAGATAGATGACTTGCTTGAGGGGTCAATCAGAAAATTGTGTCTAGCTGTTGTAGATAGATGACTTGCTTGAGGGGTCATACAGAAAATTGTGTCTAGCTGTTGTAGATAGATGACTTGCTTGAGGGGTCATACAGAAAATTGTGTCTAGCTGTTGTAGATAGATGACTTGCTTGAGGGGTCAATCAGAAAATTGTGTCTAGCTGTTGTAGATAGATGACTTGCTTGAGGGGTCATACAGAAAATTGTGTCTAGCTGTTGTAGATAGATGACTTGCTTGAGGGGTCATACAGAAAATTGTGTCTAGCTGTTGTAGATAGATGACTTGCTTGAGGGGTCAATCAGAAAATTGTGTCTAGCTGTTGTAGATAGATGACTTGATTGAGGGGTCAATCAGAAAATTGTGTCTAGCTGTTGTAGATAGATGACTTGCTTGAGGGGTCAATCAGAAAATTGTGTCTAGCTGTTGTAGATAGATTACTTGATTGAGGGGTCAATCAGAAAATTGTGTCTAGCTGTTGTAGATAGATGACTTGATTGAGGGGTCAATCAGAAAATTGTGTCTAGCTGTTGTAGATAGATGACTTGCTTGAGGGGTCATACAGAAAATTGTGTCTAGCTGTTGTAGATAGATGACTTGATTGAGGGGTCATACAGAAAAGACCTGACGCTTTTTAGAAACGATTTTTACCTCCCCCCCCCCCCGTCGTCACAAAAAAAGCAAGGCTCCCCCCTTCCCTATTTCGACCTCGGCCCACTACCCCCCCCCCCCCCCCCCCCCAAAGTACGATTTTTTAAAAAGAGTGATTCCTTTCTTAATACTGTACACATTGAGTATATTAATCAATATTTAAATTACAATATAAAAACGCGAAATAATGGTTATAGTAAGGGTTCTGACATTACTTTTAAAATTGCAAAGTATTACGTCACACTTCAAAAACAATTCCTCTCCTTCCACTAATCACACATCGTCAGTAAAGTTCATTGCCCCCCCCCCCCCATCTAGGAATGTGACGTCATTTATAGAAGACCCTTTGACATTTACTTGTAATAGTACTAGTACAGTTGGTAAATTATAATCATAGGAATAATAAAAGATATCAATATATTCAAGAACTATTCAAAAATTTTAAAACAAAAATTGATTTCATCAATCATTGCACATAAATATTACCATTATGTTTTGATTGATATATATTTTTTTTAAAAATATGAAAACAACAAAAATTGAAGCTATGCGAATAACATACAAATCTTGATGATTAAAAAAATGAGACCCTACAAAAAGGGGATTGTATAAAACTCACAAAAAGTTGAAGTAGTTTTTATATGCTTTTATTGATTCAGAATGACCGTCTGTGGGTTTTAAGACAATCTTGTAACTCGATTTAATCCAATCTAATGCAGCGATTTCGTTCATTGGTCGCACAAAATATCTACTCAATTTAGCGACAAGTGCTTTACGATTCCAACACTAAACACATACCACGTGCTGTGATATCAATAACAAAGCAGAAAAAGTTAAATAAAATATCCATAATTAATAACATCAGAACTCATTAAAAGAATGTGTATTTTTAATTTTAAAGTTATGCATTGTTGCAGGCCGAAAAATATCGTGCCCCTGGAGAAAAATGTCTCAAAGAAACACTGCTGTTAATCCTAACCGCTTGTAGATAGAGAGAGACTCTCAGACCCGCCTGTAGATAGAGACTCTAAGACACACCTGTAAATAGAGAGAGACTCTCAGACCCGCCTGTAGATAGAGAGAGACTCTCAGACCCACCTGTAAATAGAGAGAGACTCTCAGACCCACCTGTAGATAGAGAGAGACTCTCAGACCCACCTGTAGATAGAGACAGACTCTCAGACCCGTCTGTAGATAGAGAGAGACTCTCAGACCCGCCTGTAGATAGAGAAGAGACTCTCAGACCCACCTGTAGATAGAGAGAGACTCTCAGACCCACCTGTAGATAGAGAGAGACTCTCAGACCCACCCGTAGATAGAGAGAGACTCTCAGACCCACCTGTAGATAGAGACAGACTCTCAGACCCGTCTGTAGATAGAGAGAGACTCTCAGACCCGCCTGTAGATAGAGAAGAGACTCTCAGACCCACCTGTAGATAGAGAGAGACTCTCAGACCCACCTGTAGATAGAGAGAGACTCTCAGACCCACCCGTAGATAGAGAGAGACTCTCGGACCCGTCTGTAGATAGAGAGACTCTCAGACCCGTCTGTAGATAGAGAGAGAGAGACTCAAGCCTGCCTGATGTTTAACCTATGCCATATCCCCCTAGCTATTCCCTCTGGATAATAAGACCAAAACTTGTGAGCTAACTGATTATACTTCCTGGCGCTAACAACAATGACCACTGGTCAAATGATCTTAGAGCAACAGATCTCAGACAGATATCTGAGATATTATCTAGTCCGTAATATCCCTTAGATAGTTTGTCGTTGAGAAAATGGGTCTGAGGTATTTAGACTGAGATCAATTGTCCATTCATCATTTGTCCTGTCACCCTAAGAAATATAAACAAATAGCAAACGCATCATCAAACAAAGAAGAACATGTTTAAGATATATCATTACAATTTGTGCATACTAAATTAAATGTACATATTGAATTGCTGTCTACATATCAGGCTTCGTTTGCTTGCTTTCTTTAACACTTTTTGTATACAAGACTTCTCCTAATCTCAAACTTTTAAGCCAGCAGCAATGACCCCTAGAGCAACCATCATAATCCAAAATCTCTCTGTGGAATAAATAACAAATACATATACATATTAGTTTGATTCAAGTTTTGGAATAAACATTTGATTTAAGTTTAGGAATAGTGTTATAAATAGTTTTAAAGTTTTATTTCGAGAAATTATTTCATTTTCAAATTGACTTTACTTTTTAAATATTGAATTTGTTTGTAATGATGTAAGCATTAATGTATTATAAACTCAATATTCGGAAAGATTTGCATAGGAATGTTATTATGTAAGGAAAGTTCAGAGTGTAGGTGATGCTGGTAATTTTTGTTTTGGTCGTTGCTGTATGCATTGCTTTCTATAAAACACGCTCTACGGTTTTACTTTATGTTTAAACAAACATCTGAGATCCATTTTAAATATAGAAACGGCTATTGATAGCCAGAGGGAAAACTACCCGACACACAGACACACACACACATATATATATATACACACGCATATATATATATATATATATATATATATATATATATATATATATATATATATATATATATATATATATATATATTACGGTCAAAGCCCGAAGTGCGGCTAATGCACGCATTGGCCGGCTCTCTTGGCCAAAGCCCGAAGAGCTTAGCACTGAGAACGTATTTCGTACATTGGCCGGCCAATGCACTCACTAGCCGGGATGTCCTGGCCAATGTCCTTTTTAGACTAAGTTGTTTTGCGTGCGGCTTCATTGCGAGTAACGTATTGTTTGGCTATTGTTTGTATATGCAATGCGACATGAAAAAAAAGCCCGTGAGACCAAAAGACAGACATACCAGATGACTGCCAAAATAATTCTGAACTATAGAACATGTGGCCTGAACTTAAACTAGTTCACGGAAAACCAGGCATAGCCAAAGCCAAGGTTCAGAAGAACGTACCAAACAAGATGTTCCAAACATAATGATGACATGGATGCAGACAAATGAATCAGCTCAATGGGCTGAGAATCTCAAATCCATTCAGTTTATGAAAACTTGTGGTTGCCATAAATGCAACGACATCCTCAGCTAACACATCTGCTGCCGTGGCGGAACGTCCAGACTAGTTGCATGACAATAATATGGCCAACAGATTATGTGTAGTGTGTGAAAAATATTGTAGTGCCCATTCTTGTGGATCCTTTGGCAACGATGTCCATACAATATGCGGAATAGCCAATGAAGCAGACAAAGGGTACGGAGGGAACATTACCTGCAGATTATGTCACAATAAACAAGAAATCATGGACGACAGGTCAGCAGCTCATACTAGCTTGCAAACTCAAGGTGCTAAGATGCTAAAAAAATCCGATACAAATTTTAAACAAGCTGAAGTGGGAGATAATGTTCGCATTCGTATACCAAATGTTGACAGAGGTCGCGGTGATCCCCGAAGCGTCATTGCAGTTGTCATGAGTGTCGTCGGCGCTTTCTACAAGCTAGGAACGGAACATGGTGTATTTAAACAAATATATGCTAGAAGTGAGTTTTCAATTCTTCACGAAAAACTGCTCTCATTGTCACCCGTTGGCACTGAGGAAAATCACTACGAACCATCGCATCTTCACAATCATTGACTGGGGGCCAAGGTTACACTCGCTGCAATTGCACAACCAAGTGCACAACAAATCGCTGCAAGTGTAAAAACAACACGCTACTATGTAATTCCAAATGCCATAAAAGTTCAACTTGTTGTAATAAGTGATAATATTGATTGAGACTATAGTGCAATAACATAATTTGAATGTTTTTGCCATTTACTTTAATTAATAATCAATAAAGACTTAATTTCATGATCCTTACCGTGTAAAAAAACACAAAATCTGCTCATGATCTTCTAATTCGGGGCAAAAAAAGTAACCACGAGTGAAATTCTCCTTATATGAGCTGTATATCGAAAAAAAATTCCCACGTAGGAACCCTTTGAAAACTCTTGGAGATGTACATCGGCCCCAGTTAGTCAGGGAAAAAATATTGCTACCCATGGGAAAATCCCGAAACAATGTTTTAACAGACCACAGGCCATATTTCTTTATATAAACATCGTACTGTTTTTGTAAAAACAAATATACAAAAATCTGGTCATACAAACCCAATCATAACTCCAGACGTCGTAGAAATATACCCGCGGGGGTCACTATAAAATATGCGTTATCTTCAGGAAAATTCCGGAAGGGGTTTAGAACTGACCGGTCCGAATTCCCTATATATACATTGTTAATTTGGTGAAAAGCGATGACTATTTTCAAAACAATGTTTAGAAACTTTGGCTCTGTACATCTGACTAATTTTTTCCCCACAATCCTGGGTAAAGAAAACGGCCTTATGGATAAACTATCGGCCAGCCTCTGCTTGCACGGCGAGGGCTAAATGTGACCACGAGTAAAATTCTCCTTACATGATCTTTATAAATAAAATAAAAAATTGTCGATATTTTGTGAGGTCGAAGAGCGACCCTGGAGTGTAACTAAAACACTTTATTCCCGTCGGAAAAAAACATTATGGTCGATAAATTTGTCCAGATGCCGTATTTTCTTTATAAGCATTGCATCTGTATTTGAAAAAAAAGTAAACAAAGACTACGTCATTGGTTCAATTTTTAAGGGAGGTAACTTTTTAAATTCGCAATTATTTTTTTTGAAAACCAAAGCGAAGCTAGGCAGTATCCCTAGTATATATATATACATAAACACACACACACACACACACATATATATATATATACATATATATATATATATATATATATATATATATATATATATATATATATATATATATATATATATATATATATATATATATATTGTACATCAGATCACCCATAACCGGTCTGCACCCGTAAAAATATACGCACAAATAAACGTACACTTACGCGTATGCGTACATGTTCACGTACACGTACGAAATACTACAAAATACTACAAAATGCTTCAAAATAATACAAAATACTACAAAATACTATCTACCTTTCAATGTTCTGCTTTCCTGCCCATTTGTAGAGAAGTTGGCTCGTATTTCTGCACTCAAGTTGTAGCAGGTTATGTGGTATTTGTTTTCTCTGAATAAGTCCACATAGTCATAATCTACGTTGTACCCTGCGGATATATTAAACACGCTCAGACTAAATTTTATGTTTTACTGTCACTATCGAGTTGTGTCACAGTAGAGATAGAAGAATCGGAGTCGTTTTGTAGGAGATTGATCAGGTCTGGTTAGATTTTTGCATGAGCAGATGGGGCAGATAATTGTGCTTTAGAGAACGCAAGCTACTGATTGGGATTTAAAGAACACATTTTAACCGTATGTGGCGTCAACTTTATTTTCAACGCATTACTGAAAATGCACTGAAAATAAGAAAATCAAACTAATTTGTTTTCTTTAATAAAGGCATTGGTCGCCAATTGTTTTTTATTTAAAAAAAAGCAGATTAGTTTTATTTACTTATTTTTAGTTTATTTGAAAGCTTGTTATTTTAATTTTTATTTTACTTTTGTATTTGAATCAAGTAGTACCTGATCCCCCCCCCCCCCCCCTTCCCCTGTGTAGGTCGCCCAATCAACGGACCCCAGGTGCTAAGATAACTGCTGGTGTACTGCCGGGCGTCAATCCTCCGAAATTTTTTTTCCCCGCAGAAACATTCCCTGGAGTATTTTCAACAACTTCCCAAAAACGTTCATTGTTATCATATATATATATATATATATATATATATATATATATATATATATATATATATATATATATATATATATATATATATATATATATATATATATATATATATATATATATATATATATAGAGAGAGAGAGAGAGAGAGAGAGAGAGATTTAGAGAGTTGAAAATGAAACCGACGCCGACGCTCTGTTGAAAACAACGGTATCTTTACTCAAGTCAACTGTTATTTGGCGAGTTTAAATCTTGAGACTACGTCACCGACCTTAGCTAAGATAATTACCTAGTCCACAACGATCAAAGTCACCGTTCTCTTGGTATTTTCTCCACATGATTAAAGCATACCGACCATGGAACTGCCTGCAACCATCGCTATGTATAGCCTCATTGCAACAGTTCAACATTTCACGTATCTCACTGCCAAAAATCATTTTGAAAAATGACCATTTAAAATACTCAATTCTCCACTTCCCCAACCTTAATAGAAAGTCCTAGTTTTCTAAACCTAAAAAGTTATTTGAACTAGCTTCAATCAATGTACACTACATAGACTTTCCTAATATGTATGCTCATTATTTTTAAAATAAAAAAATACCGGTCTAGCGGAATAATTAGGGGCCTATTTTAGTTACTTTTTATATCTAACAAACGTTATTTTCTAGATTTCTTTTATTTACACAGTGTTAACACGAGGAAACTATTTTTTTTTAAAGTTTAACATTAATTTAAAAAAAAAGGTTTTTATTTTCTTAGACATTTCTACTGTCGTGTTTTTAAAAATCGGATGTTTATTAAATGTAATAAATCTATAATTAATAGGATGATGCTAAGGAATTCTTTCTTATGCCTTATTGTATCAATACAAGGGTACGAACTACAAGTTATCAGCTCAAACCTGCAATCAGGATTGCTGAATTCCGGTTTCCAACAAGCCCAAAAAATTATGCAATAACCTGAGGCAATAAAAATATTTAATTCATCAGAATAACTTTGTAAATGGTACAGTTTAAAATAAAAGTAAACACACAAAAAGATAGGAATTGTGCAAAAGCCATTAGGCAAAGGGACGCGCTAGGGAAATTCTTTCGAGAGGAAGGCGAAGCCGAGAAAATAACACAACATCTACGACACTGTCGTGCTATATTTCCGGTATAAATCGTTTGGACCGACGCTAGCTCTGCCTAAGCCGCCAGTGAAGAAAGAAAGTGCGTCGTTTGACCTCAGTTTTACTGCACCTTTACCTTATCCAAGGGGCCGACCATAAATGACGTCAGACACGTAGGGGTAGGGGGGTCAGTAATTTTTTGACGGTGTTTGTTGAGAGGGAGACGGGAGAGTTCAGATCATGTGACGTCACACCATTTCTCCAATGTTAGTAAACAGGTGCCCTGTCAAAACGGCCCGGGACAAATTGACCCCGTCAAACAGACCCCGACAAAACGACCCAGTCAAAATAGCCTCGTCAAAAGGGCCCCGACATATTGGCTCCCGTCAAATGGGCTCCCGTCATATTGACTTGCGACATATAGGCTCCCGACCAATGGGCTCCCGTTATTTTGGCTCCCGACAAATGGACTCCCGACATATTGGCTCCCGACATAAGGGCTCAAGACATATGGGCTCCCGACAAATGGGCTCACAACATATTGGCTACCGACGAATGGGCTCCCGAGATATTGGCTCCCGGCAATTGGGCTCCCGACATATTGACTTTTGACAAAATGACTCCCGACATATTGGCTCCAGACCAATGAATGGCATGACTACTATTGGCATAAAAGTAACCATAGTGTCCTACCTCCAATACCACTATAAACTCTTTTAAATGCCTGAATGGGCACAAACAAATCGAGCCCTTTACAGCTACATTCCACCAATTCTAAAGTTTTGATAATGTTTAATTTACAACAGAAAAGATATGTTGTTTAAAAGCGAGCACAGATGTGTAAATGTGTGATATACATGATGCTTACATGATAACAGCATTTTGTTTTGATTACCTACAAGCATACTGCAGGTAGGAAGGTACAGCGTGGACCCTTCTCCCCACACACTGAGTTGGAACAGCCTATAACCGACTCAATTATGGTATTCATAGATAAATGACCCTTAAATTAAAACACTATATTTTATAATAGATACACTAATATAAAAATAAGGCCTGCCGAACAAGAGATGCATACGTTGTATTACTTAAGAGTGTTGGATGAGCTAACTCTAAGAATATTGATGAAGGAGTCCCACTGGCAGGTGTCATATTCAATGAGACCTTTTTGCCGGGAGACTTAGTCTCTACAGAAACGACGGTATTGTCAGTGGTCCTTTTGTCTGGAGCCAAATTGACAGGAGCCTTTTTGTCGTGAGCCAAAATGACGCTAGCCTATTTGTCGGGAGTCGTAATGACGGGGGCCTTTTTGTGGAGAAACTAAATGACGGGAGCCTATTTGTCGGGAGTCGTAATGACGGGGCCGTTTTGTGGAAAAAACTAAACGACGGAAGATTATACGTAGTAAACAATATACAATAGTAAAGAAAATGATAAATGGCAAGTACAGCTACATTATTTATCATTAAACTTCAAAAAGCTAAAAGCCCAACATATCAAGACTTAAGCGACATTATTTATCATTAAACATAAAAAAAGCTAATAACCCAAAATATCAAGTACAAAAGCAACTATTTAAGCTGGGCATACCAATTTCGGGTACATGGTCTATAACTTGGTCTTTTTCTGTTCAAACATCGTTTTATATAAACAGAACTATCAAAACTCAAATCTTCATTTGCGTTGAAAACAATAATTTTCAAATACGACACTTCGTATTTAAGTTTGGGCTTGTGTAGAAACGAATCAAAAGGTGAATTTTACGCGAGGGATGGGGAAGGGCAACACGGTACAAATCGAATGTTTGGGTTAGTTCTTCAAAGTACTGATAGGCCAATTTCTGCACCGTTTCTGTAGTGTCAATGTATCGCTGGATGCCAACAGAAGATTGAACAACAAGAAATAAAACACGGAGGTGGATGGACCACAATATGGCGAGACAAGACTAGAGGGAATCCCCGAGGAAAGGAAAAGTGGGCAGAAGAATCCAGACAAACAAAAAAAATTTCTCCAGCAAGATTAAAACTGCAATTCTGACATGTGGAAAAGAGCCGCACAAAATCAAGCCAATGGTAGAAGTAGTGTGACCTTATGCTCAATGGCTTTTCTATTGATTAAGCATTCTTAGACATTTTGTAAAAGTAAGCTTGACAAACACAACGAAGCAGCAAAAAAAAATATACTCAATGAAATACACGACAACAAATATGATGTGTATATCCATACGAACTTGTTGGTGGCTTATAAAAAAATATACTCAATGAAATACACGACAACATGTATGATGTGTATATCCATACGAACTTGTTGGTGGCTTATAAAAAAAATAAAAGTCATAACAGAGTTTCAGATCCGATCGGCTTTGATCAAACGAAAAACCAGTTTTTGAGCTTGGGTCCAAACCTGAAAAAACACACACAAAAATAGCGTTTTAACATTAGCAACACAAATACACACATAAATTATTTAATCTTTTAATTTAATTATCAATAATACCTCACTTTAAAGAAGTTAAAACTGAATTTGCAATATTAAATTTTAACATGATTAGTTTTTATCATTAAAGATAATTATATTTATCTAAAAAATATGAAAAACCGTGTAATAAAAGCGTTCATTGAACATTCCTCATGTTTAATATTTCTTCGATGCCAGATTAACCTATAAGCTAAACGAGTGCTCAGCTTTCTTGGGCATTCGTCAAAAAAACGAATGTTTAAGCCATGGTAGGCTTAATCCCTCAAATTAATTTTAACACTTATTTATAATTGTCTTATCTCTTTTTTTAGCATTTCTCTTACCATTTCAATTTAAAAAAAACTATAAGTATATATATATATATATATATATATATATATATATATATATATATATATATATATATATATATATATATATCTATATATATAAAGCAAAGTGGTCAAGTGCCCGATAGGGCACTTCCCGGCGCCGCAGGCGCGTCAAATTTGGCACGATGGTGCCTTCGGGCGATAGAACACGAAGGCCGGTGACGGTTGGCCGAAAAGTCTACGGAGAGGGGGTCAAAACTGACCTCGACTGACCGGCGCCTTATATGGGCTATATTACGAAAAAAAATTTCCTCCGACGACCCCCCTTGAAATTTTGTGAGGTGGTAGGAGAACACCTTGGGGTGTCACAAAAAACTCGCCATGTCCGGGAAAAATCGGGAAATTGGTCAAAACTGACCAGTCGTATTTCCCTATATAATCTTTGTATTTTATGGGAAAAACAGAGGGTCATTTCAAAACGGATTTTAGGGCACTTACCCTGTTTACATCTGGCTAATTTTTGGCATGTTTATAGGTAAATGGCTTGACCGTAGGGCAGACCTGTCGGTCTTACTCAAAGCCTTCGACGAGGGCTAAAAAGTGACCGCGAGTGAAATTCTCTTTATATGAGCTCTATTACGAAAAAAAATTTCCTCCGACGACCCCCCTTGATATTTTGTGAGGTGGTAGGAGAACGCCTTGGGGTGTCACAAAAAACTCGCCATGTCCGGGAAAAATCGGGAAATGGGTCAAAACTGACCAGTCGTATTTCCCTATATAATCTTTGTATTTTATGGGGAAAACAGAGGGTCATTTCAAAACGGATTTTATGGCACTTACTCTCTTTACATGTGGCTCAGTTTTGGCATGCTTATAGGTAAATGGCTTGACCTTTAGGGAAAACTGTCGGTTACACTCAAAGCACTCGACGAGGGCTAAAAAGTGACCGCGAGTGAAATTCTCTTTATATGAGCTCTATTACGAAAAAAAAATTCCTCCGACGACCCCCCTTGAAATTTTCTGAGGTGGTAGGAGAACACCTTGGGGTGTCACAAAAAACTCGGCATTTCTGGGAAAACTTCGTAAAGCGGTCAAAACTGACCAGTTGTATTTCCCTATATAATCTTTGTATTTTATGGGAAAAACAGAGGGTCATTTCAACGCAGACTTTAGGGTACTTAAGCTCAGTATATCTGGCTAATTTTTTGCATGCTCCTAGGTCAATGGCTTGACCTTTAGGGAAAACTGTCGGTTACACTCAAAGCCCTCGACGAGGGCTAAAATGTGACCGCGAGTGAAATTCTCTTTATATGAGCTCTATTACGAAAAAAAAATTCCTCCGACGACCCCCCTTGATATTTTGTGAGGTGGTAGAAGAACACCTAGGGGTGTCACAAAAAACTCGGCATATCTGGGAAAACTTCGTAAAGCGGTCAAAACTGACCAGTTGTATTTCCCTATATAATCTTTGTATTTTATGGGAAAAACAGAGGGTCATTTCAACGCAGACTTTAGGGTACTTAAGCTCAGTATATCTGGCTAATTTTTTGCATGCTCCTAGGTCAATGGCTTGACCTTTAGGGAAAACTGTCGGTTACACTCAAAGCCCTCGACGAGGGCTAAAACGTGACCGCGAGTGAAATTCTCTTTATATGAGCTCTATTACGAAAAAAAATTTCCTCCGACGACCCCCCTTGAAATTTTGTGAGGTGGTAGGAGAACGCCTTGGGGTGTCACCAAAAAATCGCCATGTCCGGGAAAAATCGGGAAACGGGTCAAAACTGACCAGTCGTATTTCCCTATATAATCTTTGTATTTTATGGGGAAAACAGGGTAAATTCTACACAAATTTTAGGGTACTTACTCTTTGTATAACTGACTAATTTTTTGAATACACCTCTATAGATGACTGGGCCGTATGGAAAAACTGTTGGTCAGCATCAAAGCCCTCGAAGAGGGTTAAAAATGACTGCGATTAAAATTCTCATTATACGAGATTTGGTCATTTGGTCTATAAACAGGGGCGGTAACTTTTTAATGTAACAATTTTTAAATATTTTGTATACTCTTTTTAAGAAAAAACAAAAATCATAATGTATAGCATTGTTTTACATTGATATTTTTTTATAAATTAAGTTTTGTATTGTACTGAAATTGTAAAATTAATTGCAAAAGTAATTCAATATTATATTTGATTAATAATTTTTATGAAAGCCCTTTCAGTTCTAATAACCTTGCGAGTAATAAGTTTGCAAATATTCCATCAATTTATGGGCAAAATAAAAGTACCCCACTGTATAAATTTAGGCCCTAAGCATTTAACATAACAGCCAATCACCTATTAATTAATCATTCAATTTCTCAACTTTTTTGAAAACCTAAGCGAAGCTAGGCAGTATGCCTAGTCTATATATATAAAGCAAAGTGGTCAAGTGCCCGATAGGGCACTTCCCGGCGCCGCAGGCGCGTCAAATTTGGCACGATGGTGCCTTCGGGCGATAGAACACGAAGGCCGGTGACGGTTGGCCGAAAAGTCTACGGAGAGGGGGTCAAAACTGACCTCGACTGACCGGCGCCTTATATGGGCTATATTACGAAAAAAAATTTCCTCCGACGACCCCCCTTGAAATTTTGTGAGGTGGTAGGAGAACACCTTGGGGTGTCACAAAAAACTCGCCATGTCCGGGAAAAATCGGGAAATTGGTCAAAACTGACCAGTCGTATTTCCCTATATAATCTTTGTATTTTATGGGAAAAACAGAGGGTCATTTCAAAACGGATTTTAGGGCACTTACCCTGTTTACATCTGGCTAATTTTTGGCATGTTTATAGGTAAATGGCTTGACCGTAGGGCAGACCTGTCGGTCTTACTCAAAGCCTTCGACGAGGGCTAAAAAGTGACCGCGAGTGAAATTCTCTTTATATGAGCTCTATTACGAAAAAAAATTTCCTCCGACGACCCCCCTTGATATTTTGTGAGGTGGTAGGAGAACGCCTTGGGGTGTCACAAAAAACTCGCCATGTCCGGGAAAAATCGGGAAATGGGTCAAAACTGACCAGTCGTATTTCCCTATATAATCTTTGTATTTTATGGGGAAAACAGAGGGTCATTTCAAAACGGATTTTATGGCACTTACTCTCTTTACATGTGGCTCAGTTTTGGCATGCTTATAGGTAAATGGCTTGACCTTTAGGGAAAACTGTCGGTTACACTCAAAGCACTCGACGAGGGCTAAAAAGTGACCGCGAGTGAAATTCTCTTTATATGAGCTCTATTACGAAAAAAAAATTCCTCCGACGACCCCCCTTGAAATTTTCTGAGGTGGTAGGAGAACACCTTGGGGTGTCACAAAAAACTCGGCATTTCTGGGAAAACTTCGTAAAGCGGTCAAAACTGACCAGTTGTATTTCCCTATATAATCTTTGTATTTTATGGGAAAAACAGAGGGTCATTTCAACGCAGACTTTAGGGTACTTAAGCTCAGTATATCTGGCTAATTTTTTGCATGCTCCTAGGTCAATGGCTTGACCTTTAGGGAAAACTGTCGGTTACACTCAAAGCCCTCGACGAGGGCTAAAATGTGACCGCGAGTGAAATTCTCTTTATATGAGCTCTATTACGAAAAAAAAATTCCTCCGACGACCCCCCTTGATATTTTGTGAGGTGGTAGAAGAACACCTAGGGGTGTCACAAAAAACTCGGCATATCTGGGAAAACTTCGTAAAGCGGTCAAAACTGACCAGTTGTATTTCCCTATATAATCTTTGTATTTTATGGGAAAAACAGAGGGTCATTTCAACGCAGACTTTAGGGTACTTAAGCTCAGTATATCTGGCTATTTTTTTGCATGCTCCTAGGTCAATGGGTTGACCTTTAGGGAAAACTGTCGGTTTCACTCAAAGCCCTCGACGAGGGCTAAAAAGTGACCGCGAGTGAAATTCTCTTTATATGAGCTCTATTACGAAAAAAAAATTCCTCCGACGACCCCCCTTGAAATTTTCTGAGGTGGTAGGAGAACACCTTGGGGTGTCACAAAAAACTCGGCATATCTGGGAAAACTTCGTAAAGCGGTCAAAACTGACCAGTTGTATTTCCCTATATAATCTTTGTATTTTATGGGAAAAACAGAGGGTCATTTCAACGCAGACTTTAGGGTACTTAAGCTCAGTATATCTGGCTAATTTTTTGCATGCTCCTAGGTCAATGGCTTGACCTTTAGGGAAAACTGTCGGTTACACTCAAAGCCCTCGACGAGGGCTAAAATGTGACCGCGAGTGAAATTCTCTTTATATGAGCTCTATTACGAAAAAAAAATTCCTCCGACGACCCCCCTTGATATTTTGTGAGGTGGTAGAAGAACACCTAGGGGTGTCACAAAAAACTCGGCATATCTGGGAAAACTTCGTAAAGCGGTCAAAACTGACCAGTTGTATTTCCCTATATAATCTTTGTATTTTATGGGAAAAACAGAGGGTCATTTCAACGCAGACTTTAGGGTACTTAAGCTCAGTATATCTGGCTATTTTTTTGCATGCTCCTAGGTCAATGGGTTGACCTTTAGGGAAAACTGTCGGTTTCACTCAAAGCCCTCGACGAGGGCTAAAAAGTGACCGCGAGTGAAATTCTCTTTATATGAGCTCTATTACGAAAAAAAAATTCCTCCGACGACCCCCCTTGAAATTTTCTGAGGTGGTAGGAGAACACCTTGGGGTGTCACAAAAAACTCGGCATATCTGGGAAAACTTCGTAAAGCGGTCAAAACTGACCAGTTGTATTTCCCTATATAATCTTTGTATTTTATGGGGAAAACAGAGGGTCATTTCAAAACGGATTTTATGGCACTTACTCTCTTTACATGTGGCTCAGTTTTGGCATGCTTATAGGTCAATGGCTTGACCTTTAGGGAAAACTGTCGGTTACACTCAAAGCACTCGACGAGGGCTAAAAAGTGACCGCGAGTGAAATTCTCTTTATATGAGCTCTATTACGAAAAAAAAATTCCTCCGACGACCCCCCTTGAAATTTTCTGAGGTGGTAGGAGAACACCTTGGGGTGTCACAAAAAACTCGGCATTTCTGGGAAAACTTCGTAAAGCGGTCAAAACTGACCAGTTGTATTTCCCTATATAATCTTTGTATTTTATGGGAAAAACAGAGGGTCATTTCAACGCAGACTTTAGGGTACTTAAGCTCAGTATATCTGGCTAATTTTTTGCATGCTCCTAGGTCAATGGCTTGACCTTTAGGGAAAACTGTCGGTTACACTCAAAGCCCTCGACGAGGGCTAAAATGTGACCGCGAGTGAAATTCTCTTTATATGAGCTCTATTACGAAAAAAAAATTCCTCCGACGACCCCCCTTGATATTTTGTGAGGTGGTAGAAGAACACCTAGGGGTGTCACAAAAAACTCGGCATATCTGGGAAAACTTCGTAAAGCGGTCAAAACTGACCAGTTGTATTTCCCTATATAATCTTTGTATTTTATGGGAAAAACAGAGGGTCATTTCAACGCAGACTTTAGGGTACTTAAGCTCAGTATATCTGGCTATTTTTTTGCATGCTCCTAGGTCAATGGGTTGACCTTTAGGGAAAACTGTCGGTTTCACTCAAAGCCCTCGACGAGGGCTAAAAAGTGACCGCGAGTGAAATTCTCTTTATATGAGCTCTATTACGAAAAAAAAATTCCTCCGACGACCCCCCTTGAAATTTTCTGAGGTGGTAGGAGAACACCTTGGGGTGTCACAAAAAACTCGGCATATCTGGGAAAACTTCGTAAAGCGGTCAAAACTGACCAGTTGTATTTCCCTATATAATCTTTGTATTTTATGGGAAAAACAGAGGGTCATTTCAACGCAGACTTTAGGGTACTTAAGCTCAGTATATCTGGCTAATTTTTTGCATGCTCCTAGGTCAATGGCTTGACCTTTAGGGAAAACTGTCGGTTACACTCAAAGCCCTCGACGAGGGCTAAAAAGTGACCGCGAGTGAAATTCTCTTTATATGAGCTCTATTAGGAAAAAAAATTTCCTCCGACGACCCCCCTTGATATTTTGTGAGGTGGTAGAAGAACACCTAGGGGTGTCATAAAAAACACGGCATATCTGGGAAAACTTCGTAAAGCGGTCAAAACTGACCAGTTGTATTTCCCTATATAATCTTTGTATTTTATGGGAAAAACAGGGAAATTTTAACACAATTTTTAGGTTACTTAATGTCTGTACATCATGCTAAGTTTTTGCATACACTACTATAGATGACTAGGCCGTATGGAAAAGCTGTTGGTCAGACTCAAAGCCCTCGACGAGGGCTAAAAGATGGTCTTGAGTGAAATTCTCATTATATGAGATATATATATATATAAATAAATTGACGAACGATCCCCTTCATATTATGTGACGTCGTAGACCGACCCTGGAGGGTAACAAAAAAAACTTTATTCCCGTCGGAAACAGCCATTATAGTCGTTAAATATGTTCATATAACGTAATTTCTTATATAAGCAAACAATATAAGTAAACAATGACATACGTCATACGTTCAGTTTTCAAGGGAGGTAACGTTTTTAAAATTATTATTTTTCAAATAATTGTATACTATTTTAAACAGAAACAGAAAATGACGAAGTATAGCATTTGTTTTAGTACAAAATTAAGTTGTTAATTTAGTTAAGTATCCTAAATAAATTAATTAATTAATTTCAAAAGGCAATGTAATATAAACTATGAGATATAATGTTCATGAAACCTGTGTAGTTCTAATTCCATTTTAGTTATACATTGCGTACATTCCAAAAATTCTCTTTGCACTGTATTTAAATTACGAACAAAAACATGTTTTTTCTAAAGTTAGCATTACTGTTTAAATTCAACTTATTAAAGCACTCCACACCCAATCCATCGCTAAATAATTAAGTATTCAAATTCTCAAATGTTTTTTAAAAACCTAAGCGAAGCTAGGCAGTATGCCTAGTATATATATATATATGTATATATATATATATATATATATATATATATATATATATATATATATATATTTATATATACATTTATATATATATATATATATATATATATATATATATATATATATATATATATATATATATACATATATATATATATATATATATATATATATATATATATATATATATATATATACATATATATATGTATATATATATACATATTATATGTATATATATATATATACATATATATATGTATATATATACATATATTATAGCTTATAAACAGCATAAACATCATACATGTTGTATGTACACAATGCGTAGCTTTTAAAACATAAAACTCAACTGTATCCACAGCGTTGAAACTCTCCAGCTTGATTTAGTTGAGCCAACACATTTTGTGCCTTCTGTTTCAATTCAGGCCAGCAATGTCTGTTGATAGTCGCTTGATAGGCACAGTAAGCGTAATCAAAGCTTTCACTGTATAAGTGCATATATATATATATATATATATATATATATATATATATATATATATATATATATATATATATATATATATATATAAGTGCCGTTATAATAATGTTGTATTTATTTACTTAAAAACAGAGACGTTACGAGCTGAGCGCGGAACCCACCAGATGACACATATTTGGGGGGGGGGGGTGACACCACACCAAGACAAACAAATGCATAACATACAGAAGAAAAATGCTTATCACCGGTACAATTAATGGCTGATTGGAGTCAAATAGTCATTTTAGTACAAATTGACGATCCCGAATTAAAGTTGCTAACTAAACGGAAACCAATGTGATATCCATTTGTCTTAATCACCGACTGTATTTAACATCGATACTATTATTGTTTTACATTATAATTAATAGCAAAATATTACATTTTAGAATCTGATTGTATCCTCTCTCAACAAATTAAATTTTAGAATTTGATTATATCCTCTCTCAACAAATTAAATTTTAGTATCTGATCGTTTCCTCTCTCAACAAATAAAATTTTAGAATCTGATTATATCCTCTCTCAACAAATTAAATTTTAGAATTTGATTATATCCTCTCTCAACAAATTAAATTTTAGTATCTGATCGTTTCCTCTCTCAACAAATTAAATTTTAGAATCTGATTATATCCTCTCTCAACAAATTAAATTTTAGAATCTGATTATATCCTCTCTCAACAAATTAAATTTTAGAATTTGATTATATCCTCTCTCAACAAATTAAATTTTAGTTTTTGATCGTTTTCTCTCTCAACAAATTAATTAATAAGACCAAACACTTTGCTCTGTCGTTTTTTTTTAAAAATTATTATAAACAATAATTCTAACACTCATTATTTTCCTATTTCTTTGCTAATATTAAAGGGAATACCAGATTGCAAATGCCGTAGAGACCTTTTGCGAGGTGGTTCGGTGTTAGACAGAGAGGAGGGACCACGGAAACATTTTTTTTTAGAATTATTTTTGTTTGCAAATCCATTTGAGCTCTAGAATAAAAAAAAACAAACGGAAAAGTGATATATCTACTATCTATTACTTCTTTAGGGGAGGGGTGTCAACATCATGAGGTAACGCACCGGGTGACATTCGCCCTAGTAACGCCACTGCTTATAGACAAACATCTGTACTTTATACTAGTTAAATCAAAATTAATATAACAAGGATTAAAAGAAAATATTACAAGCAAAGCATTTTGGTCATGGCTCCTTGTGGAAGACATCCCGACTGACATACTCCTTCTACAGCAGGATTAACTGCAAAATGTAACGTCAGATCATTGGCACATGAGAGTTAAACTACAGCAGGATTAACTGCAATATGTAACGACAGTTTAGTGGCACATGAGAGTTAAACTACAGCAGGATTAACTGCAATATGTAACGTCAGATAGCACATGAGAGTTAAACTACAGCAGGATTAACTGCAATATGTAACGTCAGATGGCACATGAGAGTTAAACTACAGCAGGATTAACTGCAATATGTAACGACAGTTTAGTGGCACATGAGAGTTAAACTACAGCAGATTAACTGCAATATGTAACGTCGGATAAGTGGCACATGAGAGTTAAACTACAGCAGGATTAAATGCAATATGTAACGATAGATAAGTGGTACATGAGAGTTAAACTAAAGCAGGATTAACTGCTATATGTAACGTCAGATAAGTGGAACATGAGAGTTAAACTACAGCAGGATTAACTGCTATATGTAACGACAGTTTAGTGGCACATGAGAGTTAAACTACAGCAGGATTAACTGCAATATGTAACGACAGATAAGTGGCACATGAGAGTTAAACTACAGCAGATTAACTGCAATATGTAACGTCGGATAAGTGGCACATGAGAGTTAAACTACAGCAGGATTAACTGCAATATGTAACGACAGTTTAGTGGCACATGAGAGTTAAACTACAGCAGGATTAACTGCAATATGTAACGACAGATAAGTGGCACATGAGAGTTAAACTACAGCAGATTAACTGCAATTTGTAACGTCGGATAAGTGGCACATGAGAGTTAAACTACAGCAGGATTAAATGCAATATGTAACGATAGATAAGTGGTACATGAGAGTTAAACTAAAGCAGGATTAACTGCTATATGTAACGTCAGATAAGTGGAACATGAGAGTTAAACTACAGCAGATTAACTGCAATATGTAACGTCGGATAAGTGGCACATGCGAGTTAAACTACAGCAGGATTAATTGCTATATGTAACGACAGATAAGTGGCACATGATATTTAAACTACAGCAGGATTAACTGCAATATGTAACGACAGATGGCACATGAGAGTTAAACTACAGCAGGATTAACTGCAATATGTAACGACAGATAAGTGGCACATGAGAGTTAAACTACAGCAGATTAACTGCAATATGTAACGTCGGATAAGTGGCACATGAGAGTTAAACTACAGCAGGATTAACTGCAATATGTAACGACAGTTTAGTGGCACATGAGAGTTAAACTACAGCAGGATTAACTGCAATATGTAACGACAGATAAGTGGCACATGAGAGTTAAACTACAGCAGATTAACTGCAATATGTAACGTCGGATAAGTGGCACATGAGAGTTAAACTACAGCAGGATTAAATGCAATATGTAACGATAGATAAGTGGTACATGAGAGTTAAACTAAAGCAGGATTAACTGCTATATGTAACGTCAGATAAGTGGAACATGAGAGTTAAACTACAGCAGATTAACTGCAATATGTAACGTCGGATAAGTGGCACATGAGAGTTAAACTACAGCAGGATTAACTGCTATATGTAACGACAGATAAGTGGCACATGATATTTAAACTACAACAGGATTAACTGCAATATGTAACGACAGATGGCACATGAGAGTTAAACTATAGCAGGATTAACTGCAATATGTATCGACAGATCATTGACACATGAGAGTTAAACTACAGCAGGATTAACTGCTATATGTAACGACAGATAAGTGGCACATGAGAGTTAAACTACAGCAGGATTAACTGCAATATGTAACGATAGATAAGTGGTACATGAGAGTTAAACTACAGCAGGATTAACTGCAATATGTAACGACAGATTAGTGGCACATGAGAGTTAAACTACAGCAGGATTAACTGCAATATGTATCGACAGATCATTGACACATGAGAGTTAAACTACAGCAGGATGAACTGCAATATGTAACGACAGATAAGTGGCACATGAGAGTTAAACTACAGCAGGATTAACTGCAATATGTAACGATAGATAAGTGGTACATGAGAGTTAAACTAAAGCAGGATTAACTGCTATATGTAACGTCAGATAAGTGGCACATGAGAGTTAAACTACAGCAGGATTAACTGCAACATGTAACGTCAGATTAGTGGCACATGTTACATAAACTACAGCAGGATTAACTGCAATATGTAACGACAGATTAATGGCACATGAGAGTTAAACTACAGCAGGACTAACTGCAATATGTAACGACAGTTTAGTGGCACATGAGAGTTAAACTACAGCAGGATTAACTGCAATATGTAACGACAGATAAGTGGCACATGAGAGTTAAACTACAGCAGATTAACTGCAATATGTAACGTCGGATAAGTGGCACATGAGAGTTAAACTACAGCAGGATTAACTGCAATATGTAACGATAGATAAGTGGTACATGAGAGTTAAACTAAAGCAGGATTAACTGCTATATGTAACGTCAGATAAGTGGAACATGAGAGTTAAACTACAGCAGATTAACTGCAATATGTAATGTCCGATAAGTGGGACATGAGAGTTAAACTACAGCAGGATTAACTGCTATATGTAACGACAGATAAGTGGCACATGATATTTAAACTACAGCAGGATTAACTGCAATATGTAACGACAGATGGCACATAAGAGATTAAACTACAGCAGGATTAACTGCAATATGTATCGAAAGATCATTGGCACATGAGAGTTAAACTACAGCAGGATTAACTGCAATATGTAACGACAGATTAGTGGCACATGAGAGTTAAACTACAGCAGGATTAACTGCAATATGTAACGTCAGATTAGTGGCACATGTTACATAAACTACAGCAGGATTAACTGCAATATGTAACGACAGATTAATGGCACATGAGAGTTAAACTACAGCAGGACTAACTGCAATATGTAACGACAGTTTAGTGGCACATGAGAGTTAAACTACAGCATGATTAACTGCAATATGTAACGACAGATAAGTGGCACATGAGAGTTAAACTACAGCAGATTAACTGCAATATGTAACGTCGGATAAGTGGCACATGAGAGTTAAACTACAGCAGGATTAACTGCAATATGTAACGTCAGATAAGTGGTACATGAGAGTTAAACTAAAGCAGGATTAACTGCTATATGTAACGTCAGATAAGTGGAACATGAGAGTTAAACTACAGCAGATTAACTGCAATATGTAACGTCGGATAAGTGGCACATGAGAGTTAAACTACAGCAGGATTAACTGCTATATGTAACGACAGATAAGTGGCACATGATATTTAAACTACAGCAGGATTAACTGCAATATGTAACGACAGATGGCACATAAGAGATTAAACTACAGCAGGATTAACTGCAATATGTATCGACAGATCATTGGCACATGAGAGTTAAACTACAGCAGGATTAACTGCAATATGTAACGACAGATTAGTGGCACATGAGAGTTAAACTACAGCAGGATTAACTGCAATATGTATCGACAGATCATTGACACATGAAAGTTAAACTACAGCAGGATTAACTGCTATATGTAACGACAGATAAGTGGCACATGAGAGTTAAACTACAGCAGGATTAACTGCAATATGTAACGATAGATAAGTGGTACATGAGATTTAAACTAAAGCAGGATTAACTGCTATATGTAACGTCAGATAAGTGGAACATGAGAGTTAAACTACAGCAGGATTAACTGCAATATGTAACGTCAGATTAGTGGCACATGTTACATAAACTACAGCAGGATTAACTGCAATATGTAACGACAGATTAATGGCACATGAGAGTTAAACTACAGCAGGATTAACTGCAATATGTAACGACAGATAAGTGGCACATGAGAGTTAAACTACAGCAGGATTAACTGCAATATGTAACGTCAGATCATTGGTACATGAGAGTTAAACTACAGCAGGATTAACTGCAATATGTAGCGTCAGATAAGTGGCACATGAGAGTTAAACTACAGCAGGATTAACTGCAATATGTAACGACAGATAAGTGGCATATGAGAGTTAAACTACAGCAGGATTAACTGCTATATGTAACGACAGATAAGTGGCACATGAGAGTTAAACTACAGCAGGATGAACTGCAATATGTAACCACAGATAAGTGTTACATGAGAGTTAAACTACAGCAGGATTAACTGCAATATGTAACGATAGATGAGTGGTACATGAGAGTTAAACTACAGCAGGATTAACTGCAATATGTAACGTCAGATAAGTGGTACATGAGAGTTAAACTACAGCAGGATTAACTACAATATGTAACGATAGATAAGTGGCACATGAGATTTAAAATACAGCAGGATTAACTGCAATATGTAACGTCAGATAAGTGGTACATAAGAGTTAAACTAAAGCAGGATTAACTGCAATATGTAACGACAGTTTAGTGGCACATGAGACTTAAACTACAGCAGGATTAACTGCAATATGTAACAACAGATGGCACATGAGAGTTAAACTACAGCAGGATTAACTGCAATATGTATCGACAGATCATTGGCACATGAGAGTTAAACTAAAGCAGGATTAACTGCAATATGTAACCACAGATAAGTGGCATATGAGAGTTAAACTACAGCAGGATTAACTGCTATATATAACGACAGATAAGTGGCAAAGGAGAGTTAAACTACAGCAGGATTAACTGCAATATGTAACCACAGATAAGTGGCACATGAGAGTTAAACTACATCAGGATTAACTGCAATATGTAACGATAGATAAGTGGTACATGAGAGTTAAACTACAGCAGGATTAACTGCAATATGTAACGATAGATAAGTGGCACATGAGAGTTAAACTACAGCAGGATTAACTGCAATATGTATCGACAGATTATTGGCACATGAGAGTTAAACTCCAGCAGGATTAACTGCAATATGTAACGTCAGATAACTGGTACATGAGAGTTAAACTACAGCAGGATTAACTGCAATATGTAACGATAGATAAGTGGCAAATGAGATTTAAAATACAGCAGGATTAAGTGCAATATGTAACGTCAGATAAGTGGCATATGGCAGTTAAACTACAGCAGGATTAACTGCTATATGTAATGACAGATAAGTGGCACATGAGAGGTAAACTACAGCAGGATTAACTGCAATATGTAACGATAGATAAGTGGCACATGAGAGTTAAACTACAGCAACTAAGAGATATAGGAAACTATTTATAACTCAAAAACATTTAATTACAGAGTTTACTTACATGTCTCGCTTCGATTATGATAAGGATCTGTTAAGATAAAAAATAAAATTGCTCTTTGTTTTACGAAATCTATAATGTTTATTGATTTAGCAAAGGAATAAAATGATCGATCGACTTTTCTGTTGTAGACGCTCAGCTGTGTCATTTAAATTACAACTTATTATAATCCGATTTATTGTTTGAATTAATGTAGTGAGAAAATGTACTTCAACAATCAACGAAAGCAAGAAAGAAAAAAAAATGAAAAAAAAAAATAATATAAAAAAGTATCGATAAAATAAAATCTTAAATACAATCATAATCTTACTAAACTACAAGCCGTTTACAAGCTTAACTAAACCACTACTTAACAAACTAAAACCACTAATTAATGTATCCAGTCCTAAATAAACAACACGAGGTACAACACGTAAATAAGACAATCACCCTACTTACAAACCACGACTCAGTAAAGTTTTATACTGTGATTTTAAAAATCAGTAACACAAAGCACATCATTATAAAGGAAATTATGTGTTCTATTTTTATTTAAAGCAAAACAAAATTATAAAAGATTATGAAAGAATGAATTATAACTTGAAAAATCCATTTGAGCACCCCGTGTTTACCTAAAAGTGCTATAATTTAAAATGTTCTAGAACTTGTTTCTCTAACAAATCTTCACAGATTTAACAAAATATATCACAATGTTGAGACACCACAATATCGATAAAACATATTATATAAAAATGTTGAGGCAGTACCTGATATAACATAATATATCAGAATGTTAAGACACCTCCATAACGATATAACAAAATATATCAAACGGTTGAGACACCCCTGTCAATTACCCCGCCCAGTAGGACATTAACCCCCCCTACTAACCACACTAACCCTACTAACCCTACTAACCCTACTTACCCTAACCCTACTAACCCTACTAACCCTACTAACCCTACTAACCCTACTGACCCTACTAACCCTACAAACCCTACTAACCCTACTAACCCTACTAACCCTACTAACCCTAACCCTAACCCTACTAACTCTACTAACCCTACTGACCCTAATAACCCTACAAACCCTACTAACCCTACTAACCCTACTAACCCTAACCCTAACCCTACTAACCCTACTAACCCTACTAACCCTACTAACCCTACTAACCCTACTAACTCTACTAACCCTACTTACCCTAACCCTACTAACCCTAATAACCCTACTAACCCTACTAACCCTACTAACCCTACTAACCCTACTAACCCTACTAACCCTAATAACCCTACTTACCCTACTAACCCTACTAACCCTACTAACCCTACTAACCCTAACCCTACTAACCCTAACCCTACTAACCCTACTAACCCTACTAACCATACTAACCCTACTAACCCTACTAACCCTACTAACCCTACTAACCCTACTAACCCTACTAACTCTACTAACCCTACTAACCCTACTTACCCTAACCCTACTAACCCTACTAACCCTACTAACCCTACTAACCCTACTAACCCTACTAACCCTACTAACCCTACTAACCCTACTAACCTTACTAACCCTACTAACCCTAACCCTACTAACCCTACTAACCCTACTAACCCTACTAACCCTAACCCTAACCCTACTAACCCTACTAACTCTAATAACCCTACTTACCCTAACCCTACTAACCCTACCAACACTACTAACCCTAACCATAACCCTACTAACCCTACTAACCCTACTAACCCTACTAACCCTTCTAACCCTACTAACCCTACTAACCCTACTAACCCTAACCCTAACCCTACTAACCCTACTAACCCTACTAACCCTACTAACCCTTCTAACCCTACTAACCCTACTAACCTTAACCCTAACCCTACTAACCCTACTAACCCTACTAACCCTAACCCTAACCCTACTAACCCTACTAACCCTACTAAACCTACTAACCCTACTAACCCTACTAACCCTACTAACCCTACTAACCCTTCTAACCCTACTAACCCTACTAACCCTACTAACCCTAACCCTAACCATACTAACACTACTAACACTACTAACCCTACTAACCCTACTAACCCTACTAACCCTACTAACCCTACTAACCCTACTAACCCTACTAACCCTACTAACCCTAACCCTAACCCTACTAACCTTACTAACCCTACTAACCCTACTAACCCTACTAACCCTACTAACCCTAACCCTAACCCTACTAACCCTACTAACCCTACTAACCCTACTAACCCTAATAACCCTACTAGCCCTACTAACCCTACTAACCCAACTAACCCTACAAATCCTACTAACCCTACTAACCCTACTAACCCTACTAACCCTACTAACCCTACTAACCCTACTAACCCTACTAACCCTACTAACCCACTAACCCTAACCCTAACCCTACTAACCCTACTAACCCTACTAACCCTAACCCTACTCACCCTACTCACCCTACTAACCCTACTAACCCTACTAACCCTACTAACCCTACTAACCCTAACCCTAACCCTAGCCCTAGCCCTAGCCCTAGCTTTAGCCCTAACCATAGCCCTAGCTCTAGCCCAAAACTTAGCCCTAAATTTAGCCCTAGCCCTAACCCTAACCCAAACTCTAGCCCTGTCCGGGGGGGGGGTTAGAAGGGTTAGTAGGGTTAATAGGGTTAGTTGGGTTAGTAAGGTTAGTAGGGTTAGTAGGGTTAGTAGGGTTAATAGGGTTAGTTGGGTTAGTAAGGTTAGTAGGGTTAGTAGAGTTAGTAGGGTTAGTAGGGTTAGTAGGGTTAGTAGGGTTAGTAGGGTTAGTAGTGTTAATAGGGTTAGTTGGGTTAGTAAGGTTAGTAGGGTTAGTAGAGTTAGTAGGGTTAGTAGGGTTAGTAGGGTTAGTAGGGTTAGTAGGGTTAGTAGGGTTAGTAGGGTCAGTAGGGTTAGTAGGGTTAGTAGGGTTAGTAGGGTTAGGGTTAGGGTTAGTAGGGTTAGTAGGGTTAGTAGGGTTAGTAGGGTTAGTAGGGTTAGTAGGGTTAGTAGAGTTAGTTGGGTTAGTAGGGTCAGTAGGGTTAGTAGGGTTAGTAGGGTTAGTAGGGTTAGGGTTAGGGTTAGTAGCGTTAGGGTTAGGGTTAGTAGGGTTAGTAGGGTTAGTAGGGTTAGTAGGGTTAGTAGGGTTAGTAGGGTTAGGGTTAGGGTTAGTAGGGTTAGTAGGGTTAGTAGGGTTAGTAGGGTTAGTAGGGTTAGTAGAGTTAGTAGGTTTAGTAGGGTTAGTAGGGTTAGTAGGGTTAGTAGGCTTAGTAGGGTTAGTAGGCTTAGTAGGGTTAGTTGGGTTAGTAGGGTTAGTAGGCTTAGTAGGGTGAGTAGGCTTAGTAGGGTTAGTAGGGTTAGGGTTAGGGTTAGTAGGGTTAGTAGGGTTAGTAGGGTTAGTAGGGTTAGTAGGGTTAGTAGAGTTAGTAGGTTTAGTAGGGTTAGTAGGGTTAGTAGGGTTAGTAGGCTTAGTAGGGTTAGTAGGCTTAGTAGGGTTAGTTGGGTCAGTAGGGTTAGTAGGGTTAGTAGGGTTAGTAGGGTTAGGGTTTGGGTTAGTAGGGTTAGTAGGGTTAGTAGAGTTAGTAGGGTTGGTAGGGTTAGGGTTAATAGGGTTAGTAGGATTAGTAGGGTTAGTAGGGTTAGGGTTAGTAGAGTTAGAAGGGATAGGGTTAGTAGGGTTAGGGTTATTATGGTTAGTAGGGTTAGGGTTAATAGGGTTATTAGGATTAGTAGGGTTAGTAGGGTTAGGGTTAGTAGGGTTAGCAGGGTTAGGGTTAGTAGGGTTATTAGGGTTAGGGTTAGTAGGGTTAGTAGGGTTAGTAGGGTTAGTAGGGTTAGTAGGGTTAGTAGGGTTAGGGTAAGTAGGGTTAATAGGGTTAGTAGGTTTAGTTGGGTTAGTAGGGTTAGGAGGGTTAGTAGGGTTAGTAGGGTTAGTAGGGTTAGTAGGGTTAGTAGGGTTAGTAGGGTTAGTAGGGTTAGTAGGGTTATTAGGGTTAGTAGGGTTAGTAGGGTTAGTAGGGTTAGTAGGGTTAGGGTAAGTAGGGTTAGTAGGGTTAGTAGGGTTAGTAGGGTTAGTAGGGTTAGTAGGGTTAGTAGGGTTAGTAGGGTTAGTAGGGTTAGTAGGGTTAGTAGGGTTAGTAGGGTTAGTAGGGTTAGTAGGGTTAGTAGGGTTAGTAGGGTTAGTAGGGTTAGTAGGGTTAGTAGGGTTAGTAGGGTTAGTAGGGTTAGTAGGGTTAGTAGGGTTATTAGGGTTAGTAGGGTTAGTAGGGTTAGTAGGGTTAGTAGGGTTAGGGTAAGTAGGGTTAGTAGGGTTAGTAGGGTTAGTAGGGTTAGTAGGGTTAGTAGGGTTAGTAGGGTTAGTAGGGTTAGTAGGGTTAGTAGGGTTATTAGGGTTAGTAGGGTTAGTAGGGTTAGTAGGGTTAGTAGGGTTAGGGTAAGTAGGGTTAGTAGGGTTAGTAGGGTTAGTAGGGTTAGTAGGGTTAGTAGGGTTAGTAGGGTTAGTAGGGTTAGTAGGGTTATTAGGGTTAGTAGGATTAGTAGGGTTAGTAGGGTTAGTAGGGTTAGGGTAAGTAGGGTTAGTAGGGTTAGTAGGGTTGGTAGGGTTAGTAGGGTTAGTAGGGTTATTAGGGTTAGTAGGGTTAGTAGGGTTAGTAGGGTTAGTAGGGTTAGTAGGGTTAGTAGGGTTAGGGTTAGGGTTAGTAGGGTTAGTAGGGTTAGGGTTAGGGTTAGTAGGGTTAGTTGGGTCAGTAGGGTTAGTAAGGTTAGTAAGGTAAGTATGGTTAGGGTTGGAGTTAGAGTTAGGTCTAGGGTTAGGCTTAAAAAAATGTCTAGCGTTGCCTTTGGTTTTATGTTAAGTTTTATTCTAAGGTGGATGCTTTCCTTTTGGTCTTTTTCTTAAGGTTAGGATTAAAGTAGTATATAGGTATAGAATTCTAGTTAGAAGTAGGATTCTTACCCAAGAGGCGGGAGATAATTCCCCTGGGGGTATTGACAGGGAGGTAATTGAAAGGGGGTAATTTCTCCGGGGTAAATACGGGGGGGGGGGGGTGAACGTCCAGGGGGGGGGGGGGTAATTGTCTTGTAGCCCAACAAAATGTAAAATGTAATACTGATCGCAACAGACAATAAAATGCTGATCAACATTTCCACCTACCTTTGTTGTTCTTAGCCATGCACTTGACATCTGGAAAAAATATTGTAATATGTGCCACTTGTCGTTGGTGGTTTTCAAATGTTTTTTTTTTTACTTTGTTGTTAGTTGTCAAATATTGGTTGTTGTACTTTGTTGGTAGTTGTCAAATGTTGGTAGTTGTACTTTGTTGGTGGTTGTCAAATGTTGGTTGTTGTACTTTGTTGGTAGTTGTCAAATGTTGGTAGTTGTACTTTGTTGGTGGTTGTCAAATGTTGGTTGTTGTACTTTGTTGGTAGTTGTCAAATGTTGGTTGTTGTACTTTGTTGGTAGTTGTCAAATGTTGGCTGGTAGTTGTCAAATGTTGGTTGTTGTACTTTGTTGGTGGTTGTCAAATATTGGTTGTTGTACTTTGTTGGTAGTTGTCAAATATTGGTTATTGTACTTTGTTGGTAGTTGTCAAATGTTTGTAGTTGTACTTTGTTGGTGGTTGTCAAATGTTGGTTGTTGTACTTTGTTGGTAGCTGTCAAATGTTGGTTGGTAGTTGTCAAATGTTGGTTGTTGTACTTTGTTGGTAGTTGTCAAATGTTGGTTGTTGTACTTTGTTGGTAGTTGTCAAATGTTGGCTGGTAGTTGTCAAATGTTGGTTGTTGTACTTTGTTGGTGGTTGTCAAATGTTGGTTGTTGTACTTTGTTGGTAGTTGTCAAATATTGGTTGTTGTACTTTGTTGGTAGTTGTCAAATGTTGGTAGTTGTACTTTGTTGGTGGTTTTCAAATGTTGGTTGTTGTATTTTGTTGGTGGTTGTCAAATGTTGGTTGTTGTACTTTGTTGGTAGTTGTCAAATATTGGTTGTTGTACTTTGTTGGTAGTTGTCAAATGTTGGTAGTTGTACTTTGTTGGTGGTTTTCAAATGTTGGTTGTTGTATTTTGTTGGTGGTTGTCAAATGTTGGTTGTTGTACTTTGTTGGTAGCTGTCAAATGTTGGTTGGTAGTTGTCAAATGTTGGTTGTTGTACTTTGTTGGTAGTTGTCAAATGTTGGTTGTTGTACTTTGTTGGTAGTTGTCAAATGTTGGCTGTTAGTTGTCAAATGTTGGTTGTTGTACTTTGTTGGTAGTTGTCAAATGTTGGTTGTTGTACTTTGTTGGTAGCTGTCAAATGTTGGTTGGTAGTTGTCAAATATTGGTAATTGTAATTAATTGATAGTTGTCAAATACTGATGGATGTACATTGTTGGTAGTTCAAATATTGGCTGCTGTACTGAAAGAAACCCTAGATTGAGGCTTGCCTGTCCAATAAAACTTTCGTTTCCACTGGTGAAAACCAGGTAGATCTACATGAACGTCCGTTTTTCCCGCTTCCTCCCCCCCCCCCCCCAATCACTTAAGTTTTCAGCCTCAAATATTTCTATCTCAGCGACCATTGTTAAGCAACTAACATGTACTTGAGTCGGAAGAGTTCTATTCATTACCTCTTTCTTAGTGACATATGATTAATTGCTGTCTCATATTTTGCAAACTCAATGCATCATATATGAAGAAATATCAAAACAAGTCATTCAAACTTACCGTGCGGATATGTGGCGATGATAAGGATGATGTAAGTTGCCCAGCTGATCATTTCAAGCGCTGTTTACTCTCAAACCCAAAACAAAAGCTGAAGGCTACATCGTTTCTCTCTCAAGATAGAATCAAAACAAGTTAAAAACGCAATGTTTTCCAAGATGGAAGACAGCAAGGTGAAATCTTTTTGAACAGGAACTAGGGAGCGAAATCGTGCACACTGTGTTTTTCTTCTTCTTCTTCTTCTTCGTTCTTAATTATTAGTGTTGAAGGGGATCGAGATTTATCTGCCAGTGGGTTCGAACTCGAGACTTTGTTCGAATTTATCAACCATGAGCTTTTTGCCGACTCGACCACGCCTCCAACACAATTAAGCGTTACGTGTCAACTGGTTATGCGCCATTGAGGCCATTGACTCCGATTTCAGCCTGCTTTTCTTTTTGGATTTGCTTCCATAGCCTTTGTCCAACCAAGAACAAACTACAAGGCAGTAGTTGTTTAATTTTGGAGTTGTCTCTCCTAGAAGAGTGGCTGTCCCCAGCTAACGAGCCTCATCTGCCCGAGGGTTCAAACTCGAGACTTTTCGGTTTAGCAACCATGAGCTTTACCGACTCGACCACGCCGCCCCCTACTGTGTTTTTGATTTAAAGAAATTCCACAATAAATATTTGGTGAAAATGGACGCCAGCGAAAAAGTCTCAAAGGTTCTTGAGAGGTCCATAAATTAATTTAAAAATCATGCACGGCGTAGTTACAATTAATATGGTTATAAAATCCTGCCTGTCTGGGTTTTTTTTTCGGACTTTACTAAAGATTGGATGTATTTGATGTTTATAATATTTTCGGTAACTAAATAAAAATAAAAAAAAAAAGCAAAAACAATTTGGTTTTCACGTGTAATGGCGACATAAACAATGGCATCCTGCTATTCGATAGGCCGCCATAAATTTTATTGTACACATTGTAAGCTAAAAAGAGAAAAACTAGGTCATGGAGTTTAAATTTGCATTGTTATTTAAAAACTTGATCTGCAAAGTTTTGCAAACAAAAAAACCTATAAAGTGGGGCTGTCAGAAATCGATCACGGAGTTCCTGTACAGCCAATCAATGTTTGTCTTACGAAAGTGAAACATCGGGTTATAACTAAGGCTTGATGAAAATAAATGGAAATGTAGCCTTAAACTCAACAAATTATTTTCAAGTTATCTGGATCTGCAACTTGTATAGCATTGATTCTAAAAATATTAAATTTCTGAATTAATTTTAGGCGTAAGTTTTGAATAAAATTTTATCTTTTATTATTTTTACGGTCCTAAATCTATAAAAGCACATTTTTATTCCATGTCAACAACATTACGGAAGGATTTTCGTCAACTCACTGGTGTCCATTAGCGCAAAAAATCGGGTTAGCTCTTCTATTCTTATATACTAGCCGTCTGTACGCGTTTCAAGTGAATTATATTCCTAGATCTATATATTTTATTCTTAAACTTGTTTGAGAAAGGTATTTTATAAAATAGTTATTGTTCATTACACAATGCAGACGCTGATTAAGACACTTAAAAAAACTGTTAAAACCCGGCTTACATTGGTTATTATGTTGTTTTTTTAAGTAATTTGTATTAGTTTGACAGAGAAAATTGTATTAATTTCATGGCGTAAGTCTTGATAAGTAGATTTATAGAATCTAGATCTAAAAAAAATTTGAATAAAATACTTCATTTCTTCATATTCTAAAACTAGCCGTCCCGGCCAGGCCCTGCTCTGGCTTCTGTGAAAAACCTTTCTGTTAAAGACCATTACCTGTGTGTTTATTAATCATCATAAACCCGGCATTGCCCACCCAAACCACAACCAACCAAAACCTAAACAACAAAACGCAAACATAACGCTAACAAAATTACAAATACAAACGAAAACAAAAACAAAAACCTAACAACAAACCCAACCACAACCACAAACACCAATACAAACACAAAGAAAAAACAAACAAAAAAGCAAACGAAAACAAAAACCTAACAACAAACCCAACCACAACCACAAACCCCAATACGAACACAACGAAAAAAAAAACGAAAAAGCAAACGAAAACAAACCAAATCCAAACGCTAAACCAACCACAAACACAAATACAAACCCAAAGAAAAAAACACAAACGAAAACGAAAAAAGAAAGAACAAAAACGAACCAAATCAAAACGCAACCACTAACGCAAACCCAACCTAAACACAAAGATAACACTAACGCGAACATAAACGCAAAGTGCTCACAGTCTAGCCCGGGGCGGAATCGCCTGTTTCAGCTTAATAAGCGACTATAATACCCCAACTTATTCATAGTCTTTTGCACTCACTTATACGAACGTAGGCTCCAAAACGAACACGGGAGGCCCGGGGCCTCAAATAGCACCCTGTCTGGGCACCAGAGGACGCCCGGATTCGATTCACTCAAAGACTATAGTAACCATTCTTATCCATACTCCATCGCACTGTTTAAAGCAAAATAATGCACCATAGCGCTCACAGGATAGCCCAGAGCGCCAAATTGAACCCTGGTGGAGCGCCGGCGGACGCGCCTGTTTCAATTTAATGAACAATTATAATACTCCAAGCTTAACCGTAAAATACCTACAACATTCGCACTTGATCAATCCCCGCTAATTATGTAATTATTTTTTTTCCCAACACCAAAACAAAGTAATAAAAAGTAAATTCTTTTCCACAAATGCAATGTTTTATAAAAGGAAGTAATTGTGTTTTCCTAATTTATCAAAGGGAAGTAAGTGCTCAAGGACTAAATATAAATAATTTTCAGACATAATTAGAATTTTTGTAAAAGATATTTTTTTAAAATTGTGTTTAATGAACATGCCGACAAATATTTTTTCGATTTATAGCTCATATAAGGTGCCGGTCAGTCGAGGTCAGTTTTGACCCCCCTCATCGTAGACTTTTCGGCCAACCGGCCCCCGTGTTCTGTCGCCCCAAGGCAAGTTCCTGCCAAATTTGAAACGCCTGCGGCGCCGGGAAGTGCCATATCGGGCACCCGACAACTTTCCTTTATATATTATAGAGATTAGCAAATTGCATAGATAAACAAAGATTTCAATAAAGTAATTAAAGCCTGAAATACTTTAGTATAGAAATGTATTATTTGAATAGATTCTAGATCTAGGTAGGGTCTACATCTGTGTAAGTCTAGTTTTTCCGTAGATCTAGATCATCTAGATCTGGATCTAGAATCTCTAGATCTATCCTAATAGAATTTTTTTTTAAGTTTAGCCCGAGCAAAATTGTATTGTATAAATTTTATAGCGTACGTAGATCTAAATCAAATTTGATTGAAATAGTTCATTTCTTTTTATTCTAACACGGCAGATGACGTCATTAGTTAATGTATAAACATTAGTGACGTCACTGTTTTATGCATTCTTTTTCACAACTATAAACGCTTTTCCTGTTGCCTAATTAAAACTGTTTCTCTACATTCGAATACGCCTTTATTTTTTATTTTTCTTCTTTAAATAAAATTGTGGTTATACATTTAAAACATCTAACATTATTTTCAACAAAAGTCTGTATAAAGGTATCCATATATCGCTGCCGATTCTGACGTGATATCCGGCGAAAATATTTTGCGGACAGAGAGAGAGAGAGATAGAGAGAGAGAGAGAGAGAGAGAGAGAGAGAGAGAGAGAGAGAGAGAGAGAGAGAGAAGTGCGCACATGGGCTATTATATATTAGGATTTCTTACAAATTCAAATATTGCTTTATTTTTATTTTCTTTCTTTAAATAGAATGTAGTTTATTCATTTAAAACGGTTCCATGACAAATGAACTGAGGACAAATGATCTCAGACAAAATATCCCTGACAAAATATCTCACGGAGAAATAATATCATGGACAAATGATCTCAGTAGGTTGGTAGTGCCCTCACACAGTAGGTTGGTGGTGCCCTCATACAGGTAGGTTGGTGATGCCCTCATACACATGTGTGTGGGTATATGGTTAGCGAGGACGGTAGATGTGTGTGGGTATCTGCTGAGTGAGGACGGTGGATGTGTGTGGGTATCAGGTTAGTGAGGACGGTGGATGTGTGTGAATATCTGGTGAGTGAGGACGGTGGATGTGTGTGTGTATTTGGTGAGTGAGCACGGTGGATGTGTGTGTGTATCTGTTGAGTGAGGACGGTGGATGTGTGTGGGTATCTGAGTGAATACAGTGGATGTGTGTGGGTATCTCTTGAGTGAGGACGGTGGATGTGTGTGGGTGTCTGGTGAGTGAGGAAAGTAGATTTGTGTGGATATCTGGTGAGTTAGGACGGTGGATGTGTGTGGGTATCTGGTGAGTGAGGACGGTGGATGTGTGTGGGTATCTGGTGAGTGAGGACGGTGGATGTGTGTGTGTATCTGGTGAGTGAGGAAGGTGGATGTGTGTGGGTATCTGAGTGGGGACGGTGGATGTGTGTGGGTATCTGGTGAGTGAGGAAGGTGGATGTGTGTGGGTATCTGGTGAGTGAGGACGGTGGATGTGTGTGTGTATCTGGTGAGTGAGGAAGGTGGATGTGTGTGGGTATCTGAGTGGGGACGGTGGATGTGTGTGGGTATCTGGTGAGTGAGGACGGTGGATGTGTGTGGGTATCTGAGGACGGTGGATATGTGTGAATATCTGGTGAGTGAGGACGGTGGATCTGTGTGGGTATCTGAGTGGGGACGGTGGATGTGTGTGTGTATCTTGTGAGTGACGGTGGATGTGTGTGGGTATCTGGTGAGTGAGGACGGTAGATGTGTGTGGGTATCTGGTGAGTGAGGACGGTGGATGTGTGTGGGTATCTGAGGACGGTGGATGTGTGTGTGGGTATCTGGTGAGTGAGGACGGTGGATGTGTGTGTGTATCTGGTGAGTGAGGACGGTGGATGTTTGTGGGTATCTGAGGACGGTGGATGTGTGTGGGTATCTGGTGAGTGAGGACGGTAGATGTGTGTGGGTATCTGGTGAGTGAGGACGGTGGATGTGTGTGGGTATCTGAGGACGGTGGATGTGTGTGTGGGTATCTGGTGAGTGAGGACGGTGGATGTGTGTGTGTATCTGGTGAGTGAGGACGGTGGATGTTTGTGGGTATCTGAGTGGGGACGGTGGATG